GCATAGGATTAAACCATCACAAACCCTCTATTTAACTTTAATACTAACGGACCACAATTATAAACGCTTTACAAGTGAACGTGTTGACTTTATACTCGAGAGCCCAATAAAGTTCAACAACAACAAAGTACTGTGTTGCAACTGAGTGCGTGTTGGTTTAAGTTCACTGAGCTCCCACAATACATGAAGCGTGATTCATTCGACATACAAACAACTAGCTGCACCCATATCTCCACAAACATTACCTTATTTATTATTAGACTTCCGCATATTCCTGCCTACAACTTTTGAATCTATACATCAAAGAGTGATCTTTAAAGGAATTTTTTTTAAACAGTACACAAAGTCATATAATATTATCTTTGTTTTTTCTCTTTCCTTAACATGCTAATAACGGAGATAACACTTGAAAAATATCTATATATACGGACGTTTAAACCGATTTTTATCAATATATATAAGAGTTAATAAATCTTGTAATACAAATTAAATTATCAATCTAAAATTTAAAGTAAATCACGCTCCTCACTAAATGTTACTCAAGTTTACCCAAACCTTTATCAGATACCAGCCTCTGCATGATTGTCTCCTATAAATTTGTATTGAGTAATAATAGTTTATAAAGAAAATAAACAGTTATTACTACTAATTTTTGTTTGTCCACGTACTTACCGTACAAAAGACATCAACGACATATTCAATGTAGATACGCTAAGGGTCGTGCAAATATGACGAAAGATATCGCGGAGTATGCGTTAGCTGACGACGCATCTTGCATGACACTATATAAACATTATTATATAATAATATAAAATTATTATTATACAATTTTTATATTTAATGTTGTCATAAATTGTACAATATTTACACAGAAACGTTATATTTTTCAATGTATGCCGTCTACAGTTATACATTCCAGTGTGAAAAAGAAATAATAATGTTGGTTGGTTATAGAACTGCTGCAATATGTAAGTTAACTTTGTTCTGAAAATTGATAAAATCAGCTAAGTACTTGTAATAAAACTTTTATCTATGAGTTTTTATGGACTAATGGTCAAACCGCGTTTTCAATTTGGTACAAGTTATCTACACAGAGCGGCACATCAATTTAGCTTTTGTACCCTTTGGACCTTTACCCTCTTGCTTGGATCGCTCGATGTAATAAATTTAAAAAAAAACATTATTTATTGCAACATGTTAACTGAGAGCATTATTTAATTTACCAATTATTATTATTGTTCAATAAAGCATTATAGACATGGCTCCATATTACCGAATCGATCGATCAATTGCCAATATTAAATATGCAACGTATAAAAGTATTTTATTAATTTAACTCTATCATTAAAAGTTTGAATGAGTATTTGTTACCGCTACCGTAGTTAATTCGTTACTACATCAAAAAGCCATGTCGTTTAAATTTGCAAATTGTCGGAAATCTTTGTCGGTCATGTTCAGTCGTCGGGCTCGGCGGCGGCTCGATCGGCTTCATTAAATACAATTAGCTAATAGATTGTAATTTTGCTATCAAATTAAATCACCGACATACTAAATAATAATTATCGTACATTGATATATTGTAACGCATTCACAAACCAATAAAAACATTTTTAGACTATACTTTCAGTTAGTATAAAGTATTTATTATTAACCCCCGATGCAAAAAGAGGGGTGTTCTAAGTTTGACGTGATTATGTGTATGTTTGTCTGTGAGATCATAGCTCCGTATGAAGTGATTTATTTTCTCAATTTAGTTTCTTTTGTATTAAAGATGCTTTGTGTGCGAGTGTACCTAGACAAGTTTGATGAAAATCAGTTGAGTCGTTTAAAAGTCGTGGAGACTGAAATTTGAAAATAATAACAGAATATCTCCAAATATACTCAAGTGGGGTCTCAAATGAAAGCTTACAGAAAGAGAATATCGATGAATTAATCGAGTGTTGTTGGCTTTGGTTGATGAGAAAATTATTATATCAAAGAGTTGTAGATTAATATAAACATTAAGTAACAATTATTAGTTATCGATAAAAAACTAGTTATTAATAAGTAAAATGAAAGCGAATATGCTTACCTTAAATGTTATATTTACTTTAAATATTAATTTGTGAACTTTTGAATAGAATTTACATTATAATAATAAGTACCTATAAAAGTATGATATAAAAAAAGGATAAAAATGTTAAAAACCCCCGACAAAAAATTCTAACTTCCCTTTAAAAGGTAAAAAAATAATTATAGAAACACCATCTTAAAGTACTTAAATATGTATTAAAAATTATTAAAACAATACGTCGCGTTGCGGAAACAAAATAATTTCATACGTTTTGAACTTTAAATTTTGTGTTCATAATACTATACTGACTCAAAATATTTACTTTTTTATTTTAACAAAAAGTTAATATCTATACTAATATTATAAAGCTGAAAAGTTTGTTTGTTTGAACGCGCTAATCTCAGGAACTACTGGATTGAATTGAAAAATTATTTTTGTGTTGAATAGACCATTTATCGAGGAGGGCTTTAGGCTATATAACATCACGCTGCAACTATAAGGAGCGAAGAAATAATGGGAAATGCGGACGAAATCGCTGGCGGCCACTATCAATACTACAAGCCAGATACGGAAGATCGTATCCTATTTAATTGTTTTTTTTTAAATATTTTTAGGATAAATGCTTCATAGCGCTTTATCTTATTAAGGTTCATTCAAAAAAGTTTTCATTTTTGTTTCAGTATTAAAAAAAAAAAAAACTATAACACCATTAAGTGGTTATTATATCATCTGCAAGCAATACTATTTCGTGATTATTCAAAGAGCAAATCATTTATGTAAACCAAGAATAAGAAAGGACCTAGGATTGAGCCCTGTGGAATACTCAACTGTAGAACTAGCAGACCTCTGACGCTCTGTCATTCGAAAATAGACAAGAGAAATCAATGAGGTAAATTCACAAATGACCCTAATATCTTTTTCGTTTTATTCATATAAAAACAGTCCAATTGACGCGCTATACAACCGTATTAATGGAAACAGTGCCATATAATCATCCAGCTGGAAACTTGTAGAAAATTTGAATAGAATATCTCAGTGAATTAAGTATAACCGGCGGTCGATGAGACAAGACACTAAATAAACATTATTAAATAATAATATATCGTAAAATCATTATTATACAATTTTTATATTTAATGTTGTCATAAATTATACAATATTTCCACAGAAACGTTATATTTTTCAATGAATGCCGTCATAGTTATATTCCAGTGTGAAAAAGAAACAATAATGTTGGTTGGTTATAGAACTACTGCAATCTGACTTATATAAGTTTACTTTGTCCTGAAAATTGATAAAATCAGATAAGTGCTGGTAACTTTTATCTATGGGTTTTTTATGAGCTAATGGTCAAACCGCGTTTACAATTTTGTAAACAACTAACATAACAAGAGTTATTTAGAATAATACTTAATTACTAAATCATATCAATAATAATATGACTGCTACCATTTACTTTATTTTTATCGAGCCCCAGATGTTTCTGCTCTGTTATAAGCTTCATATAGTCTTATTATAGCACACAATTTAAAGTTAGGACATTAAAAAGAGAATTAAAAAGATTTCCCACTAAATGCTTCATACTCACTGGACCAAAACATGAACGACTCACGTTTGGTACACGTACCTACACAGAGCGGCACATCAAGTCTGCCATCTGCAATAAACTGTTAATATATTAACATGAAAATTCATTAGAGAAATGTTACTTGTTGTATTAACCTAACGTACTGTGGACTGTACAAAAAAGTTCCTGATTTGATCAATACATCATTTTTCAAAGACAAACCATTCATTAAACTAGGTATCTATATTAGCAACAAATGATGGTTACTCACTTATGATTCCTTAGCTAAGCTTCGTTTGATGAAAACAATTAAAAGCATATCAAACTTTATAATCCCACCGCACATTACTAGCACATTAAAAACTTATTAAACCATTAATCAAACTGAAATAAAAAACACTCATTACCGTGTCACATTCGCTCTGCTCTCAAATACGTTCCGTTCAACGCAAACGAAAGTTGTCAAAGTGGCCATTTAGAATGTTGTTACATCTCTTTATTTATGGAACATTGATTTTTACCGCTTGCGGAATGTTTATTGGAGTAATAAAAAATTCTTCAGGTGTATACAATTTACCGTCATTTTTCAACGTAAAAATAAATGAAAGTGATTTCAATGATAACATAAAGCATGTAGTTTATAACATACAAGTTGGGGTACTTTACATTTTTTGTTTCTTAAAAAAATAAACAAGCATTAATTAACAGATCATAAAGCCGAATAATGGAGATAGTAGTCTTGATACCTTTTGGAATTATCATACCGTGACCAACCAACAAGCCATAACAAGAGTTGAAAATTAATTAAATTTCACTAAGAAACATTCATTCACTAACAAACATACAATATGGCGATAGGTATAATATATATATAATGCTTTGAAATAAATTTGTTCTTGAATTGGAGTTACTTTAAACGCTATGCTATTAACAAGCAATTTAATCACTTACAAACCTTATGTTACAGAGTGAATAGAAAATAAAGTCAAACGGAATTGTCGAATTAAGTATTACTAATTTAGGTAATATTTAAAGACAATCCTTCTCAGACAGACAATTTTACTAGGTACCAGTTTTCTCTTCTGTTTTCTCAATTTGGTTAGGCGATCAATGGCATAAACCAAGTACCAACTTTATAACACGGATAATGGGATTATGGTTATTTTATTGCACAAATAATAGGTATCAAATATCATAATATCCAATTTAATATAATTCTGAAATACCTTAATATATTTTATGAATTTTAGCTTGCGTACTCACATTAAAATAAACATTTTACTACTACTCATTACTAGAATTACTTTTTTAGTGGCATTGGGTGTAAACTCTTCGTAGTAGCTATGAAAATTAAAGAGTTCACTAATTAATAATTGTCAAATGATACGCGGTGGCATGTGCTGTTGTCACGATTCGGAAAAACCTGTAGAATTTCCACTGTTTGTCACTTTCACGTTTTGTATTTATGTATTTGTACCGGTGAGTAGACATTTACTTTCTTACGTTTATGTGCGCCGTTTGCATGCGTGAGACAGGTGATTCAATAACATGGATACCGCACGAAAATTATACATTACCTTGTATAGAAAGATACTCAACAAAATTCACAAGTCGCCGGTACACGTGATAGGTTGAGAACGCATAAACTATCGCAATTCAAACGACTAATCTTCCAAATTTATCGTCACCGATATGTTTAAGTATTAGTCCATAAAGAATGGTTTACCAACATTTGTATACGCAAAAAGTACACAGTAAAAAGACGAAAATTAAAAAAATACACGCATATATGTCACAAACAAACGGAAATCACTAAAATACGCCAAAGTGTAATATTTTATAATTTAAGCACTGTCACAGATATTAACTTTTCATGGATACTGCTTTCTTTTTTAATATTAAGAAATACTTAAGACAGACAAACAGCCACGAAGATAAAACTAAGCCCAGAATATGTAAGGATTAATTTATACGAAAATTTCAACACCATTTCTTAGTAACTAAGATGTTCATATCCATAGAAGAAATTAAATGAATGTTTTATTTGTTACAGATGACTCCCGTAAGACAAATACTGATATCAACGGCGGTATGCCTGCTGGTAACCGCCTGCGCAGCGACAGATCGCGCCGAACAAAACATCACAACAACAAAAACTGTCAGGACAACAATCTTACCCTCCCGGACAACCAGGACAGAGCTCAAGGTCTCCCGAAGTCTCAACCCTCACGACACCACCACTCTCAACGTCAAAACTAGACAGGGACATATGACACAACTTATTGTCAAAAAAAAGGATGCGAAGTCCACCACGCATCATGCTAGCACTACAGCAGCACCAACAACTGTCTCGCTCAAAACTACTGTCCCTGCCAAAGTAAATGTTACCACTGAGGAACCCAAAAATAAGACAGAGACCAGGGATCAAAGAAAACTTAACTTTGTTGGCCCTTTGAACAGCGATCTAGCTGGGTACGAATATTACTCCTCCAACCGCAACAAGAACCCTGAAGTTTTCTCTGAAGTCAAAGCAGAATATGGCAACTGGTCACCTGTATCTGTTTATCCAGAATCTCACATTCAAGAAGATGGTGGTAAACCTGAAGCTGACCCAGAGACATCAAGCTATTACCCCACATATGACAATGATAAAAGAACCGAAAATAAAAAAGTTTACATCACATCCACTAGCTACTTAGATTACGGTGGTCCCATAAAGAATTATAGGTTCGATCCGCATAACCCAGTTATTAAGAACGACCGAAACCCTGTTTATATTGAAGTAGTCAGTACGAAAGTAGCCGATGAAGGAAAGTCATTCAAGGTTCCTGACCCAGTGGTCATAAGCTCTGAACCAATGTATTTAAAGAAAGCCGTAGAAAAGTATAATAACAAGCGGGGCAGATCAATTTTGACTCTCGGTGAAGACGGTATACCAGAAATTCAGGGCGTGAGAGTGCCAGACGACGAATCCGATAAAAAAACATGGAGAAATGCTAGAGTTGTTAATGGCGAGTTGTTGCCGTATCCAGAAGGATACACACCAGCTAAAGCAATCTCAGAGATTGAAGGGTACGTCGACGGATCATCCGAGGAACCCACCGAAAGCTTCGGCCCTTTCACTAAAGACGACAACTTCGAGCAAAAAGATGGACCGTTTACTAAATTTGATAACTTGAAATTTGATGCCAACGACGTCCGTGACGATATCGATATCTATACTAACAATCCATCTTACGGTCAGAAACAGAGACTAGAAAAACTTAAATCCGGCTACGGCTATGGACCTTTCACTAAAGCTGACAATTCGAAAGTAGCCAACTCAAAACTAATTGAATATATAAAACAAATAAATGAACAAGAATTGAAACGTGACTACTTCAGCGGTCGCAGTTCAAGGGCACATACTGGTGACCTAGATTACGCCGAAAGCCATATTCAAAGACGTATGCTTCAACACCCTGGAGAAGTTAACTACCCCAACTCTCTTATGTATACCCCAAAAAACGCGAAACCAAGTTTCGATGAAAGCGTAAGGAATCCTGTCCTACAATATGCTCACCCGGAACTCGGAGTACAGCCAGCTAAAGCTACACGAGACAATATCGATAATTACAGCGACCGAAAAATTAAGTACTACTCCAGTGTACCAAAAAGCGCCCATCCCTACCCTATGGAACCTATCAACGGCTATGGACAGCAAAGATCACAAGGTAATATTAATGCTAACCGATACTATGAAGATGAACACAAAAAGTTCTCCTACTATGAAAACAGTCACAGCCCCAGCTACTCTTATGGTTACGGTTACATAAGGAGAACTCCAGAGCCATCTCTCTGGAAAAGATTTACCGATTCTATGAAGGATACTATACACAGCGCCACCCAAACTGTTCAACAATTCACAAAGCCCATAATGGACCCTATAGCTAAAGTAACACAGCCCGTTCTCAATCCTTTAGTAGAAGCCACACAGAAGATCTCTCATAACTTGGGACTGTATCCTTCAAATTCTATTCAAACACAGAGGTACGCCCAAGACAAAATTGGAGTAGCAGCAGCGGCAACCGGAGGTACAGCCATGCTTCCAGCTATTGGTCTGATGGCAGGCGGAGCAGCTCTGGGGTTGGGAGCTGTCGCGATGGGCAGACTGCTCGACGTCAACTTGATGCGTTCAGCTGGCTTATCAGACGATGATATTCAAGATGAACTTGAAAAGGAGCACAAAAGAGCATTCAGTAATGCGCCTTATGACATCGATAGAGATATCTTGAGCAGACAAAAAGTATTTGACGACAATTATAAAATGCCTAGTGAGAACGTATACGTAGTAATGTCACCAGACGGTGGCCAGGCGAGATCAAAACGGGATGTACTCGAATTCCACCAGGATCCGGACCATGTAACATTGAGGCGAAGAAAACGAATATCCAAAAGGTCATTAGATAATGACATGCCAGAAGATCTGCAGCACTTGGACAGCCAGCAGTCGTCTTCGTCGTCGCTCACGTCAGCCGCCATGGACCTAGTGAAGCAGACTGATTGGCGGGACTCGCAGTGTGCCAAGTATACCTTCTGTAAGGTGCTCACGTCTCAGCCTTCCGACTCAATCTTCGCGATGGAGAAAAAAATGGAATCACTACTCAAGTTGTAAGTAACTAATATTTTTTTACACTCAATTCAAATCTATTTACCTTGTCCAATAACGTAAATATCTAAAGAACTCGCATTCTACAGCTACTACAGCCACATCAGTTTAAAGTTATATATTGGTTATTAATGTTTACGTCTGTTCCTTCCATCTCTTTTGCTTAATCCGGGAGCAGTAACCCCACTTTCTCGGGGTCGTTCAATATCTCGGTCGCGTTGCATAAACTCTCATATACAGGGTTACCACTGTTTCAATTTAGATAATGTTAAATCTAATCCTTGTATAGATCAATTTCTAATTTATACTTATTAGGTAATTGTATAAATATCAATTGTATCGTATGAAAACACGCTTCTCTAGATAAGCTATCTATTTATTCCGAATTCGAGACCACTTTTAAACGTAACAAATTCTAAAATTCAAAGTGATCAAGTTTTATCGATTTATCAATGATTATGCAATCTATGACACTAAAGACACCACTGATTATTCAATATTATGATTAATTGTTATACATAAATCTATTCCCTGTGGTATATCTGTCGTTCAAATATTTTAAAATATTTTAAATCTATTTTGTAAAATCATGCTTAAATACTACTTGCTCTTAATAATTTTATAGATATAATAATTTAATATTTAATTCCAAAAAAGTGTGAACCCTAGTGTCTTACATTGCATAAACTGCAAACTGCGCCGAGTGAGTGGTTTGTTTCGGCGGTGAAAGCTCTTGATGATCAGCTTCTAAGCGGGCGCGCGGGCGGCGGCGCCCTGCGGGATGGTGACCGCTAAGTATACACGAATTAATCATTAAGCTTTCGCATTTATGAATTCGATACAACACTAAAGGTCACTCGAAATGTGAACAAAACATTTACCCCTCCAAATTAATCGAGGACTTAATGCGGTCTATGAATATTAATGAAACGGAAATGGTAAATCGATTATTATCAAACGAAAATAAAATAAATTAAACAAAAATACAAAATGAAATATGATTATAGCCACAGAACACACCATGTTTGTTTCACTTAAAAACTGCAACAGTCATAGAATGATTAACACTGAATTTAAAAACACTTCATTGGTCTGTAGGTAAATAAAACCTCATAAATTATACAATTAGTTTTTTGAGCTTTACTTTCATTTCAATTGATTTCAACCACAACCTAGTTTCTTATTTTTTTAAGTATATTTTTTACGTTTCTATCTAATTAAACAAAGGCTTTGTTTTTTTTATTATACGCTATTAATATTTTTTCGTAATCTCAGCAAACTCTTTCGTTTGACATCCATATTATAAGAGTGCCTCTTGTGTATAGCGCCGTATGCAATAACTTATAATGCGTGGAAACGGCATGTGAGCTATTATCATATTATAAATAGTCAGCCGACATGTGCCAGTACAGTGGTCCGCCATATTTGACTTTATTATTATTAAAATAAGGGCATACAGTTGCAGCAAGTGGTGATATATATTAGGCGTTGCCCGGCGACTCCGCCCGGGTTCAGAGGTCCTGTAGCTTGTCTTTCATTATCAATCGCAACGCCTTTCAAAGGTAAAGCGACGATTTAAAGTCGCAATTGATTTCGGAATGAATGATAATTTGAATGATCAATAAACATAATAAAAACTTAAATGAATATTTGCGTCTAACGCTTGCCTTGGACAATTCCAATTGACGTCAAATTAATAATATTCAATATCTTTAAAAAACTTCGCGATAACAATCGTTATCACATGTTTATTATTTGTAGCGTGAAATGCGCTTGCATATTTTTCAAATTCCATATTGCAATATATTATATAATTAGACAATTATTGTTATCATAGAGTATCACAGATATCCCAGACGTCGAGGATAGTGCGTATTCTTTATTCCTATTTCATAAATTTTTCAAATCCATTTCTAAATTAGTTCAGCCGGTTATCTGTTCCAAGCTTTCACTCTGTTATTATTAAAAAAGAAAGAAATGTGTTACTTAAAAATATATAAAAAAAAAAAATTATTAAAAGTTTTTTCTTAGCCCTCCGTAACCCATAGTTGGGTAAAGGCCTCCTCAATCTCACAACACCCCTTCCTATCCTGCACGCGTAGCATGACAATCTCGAGAAACGCTTTGTCTACACTCATTTGTCAGTTTCTCGGGTCAAGAGTGAGATATAGTATGGGCGCACCCGAGAAAAGTTACATTTGATTGTAGACAAACGTTCTCGCGTTTGTCATGCTGGACTATACGCACAGACTTGCAATATAGTCAGCCCATCTTTTTGGTTGTCGACCATTCTCTTTTCTGTCCTCGGTCTCCCCTCTAAAACTCTGACTCCATCTTCCATCCGTCTTTCAGCTAACATGTTCCGCTCAACGCCATCACTATCGGTCTATGAGTCTATCATCAGTCTATGCTATGGTAAAATAAATTAAACAAAAATGACCGGCAGTTCCTAGAGTTGCTAACTCTCGCAGACCCGTAAACATTACTGACGTTATACAATATCGTAATATCCTAAAACTGCTATGCCTTATTCCGTTTGTAATAAGGGTGACTGTATAATCAAGGGCACGCGATGTTGTTACTTTCACTGCCCTGTGGCTACATCACGTATGAACCTCCAACAAGACGTAGATGTCATACAAATCACCGCAACCTCTAAAGGAATGCAGTTTTGTAATGCACCGATATGGTAATGTATGTACTTTTCGAAATCGAACGCTCGAAACGTACGTTTTCCGAGTGACAATTACTTGTGTAATTGTATAATGATGACAAACAAACTAATTTTACACTTTTTAATAAACTACCTTAGCATATACAATTATTAATTTATCTAAGTGAATGCTAGTCAGTAGAAATACCATGAAAAACGCAAACAGAGCTGACGCAACATCAGAGAGTCAATAAAATAAAACTTTTATTAACTTTTGTTGTAGGTTTTATTTGTTTTAACAAACTCTAGTACTTCAACAGCGTTGTGTTCGACGCTCTACTGTTAACAAAATTGCACTGAAATGAACTTGAACGAAACACTTTCAAGGTAACTTATGACAATAGTACACGAAATAAACGATGCTGTTGCGAGATTTTGTAACGTTGGAAAATGTAGGCACCTGTTCTTCCATTGTTTATTTTTATTGTTTTGTACAATGACATTGTTTTAGTATGACAAACAATTCCTATTATTTACACATTAATTACCAACAAATTCAACAAAACATGAATATTTTACATTTTTTATTAACAGATAAATTATAACATTCCCGAATAGCTGCAACAAAAAACTGGGCGATGTGCGTCATATGACGCAACAATTATGTCATTATCTGTCACAAAACGTCAATTTTTTGCGCGCGTTTCAGACGGCGTGCCGCCGTGCGCGCGCGCGCTTGCAGGTTACGCAACCTGCGGCCTTTGGTGAAAGTGGCCGGACCACATTCCGAGTTTGTTTGGACCACGAGTTCCCCGCGTCGTCTCTGGCTCGAGATAGAAGGCATTATGCAACGATTTCGTTCACGCCGATGAGTTGTAGCCTCGGGTTGTGGCTAGTAATTATGTCAACTAAAAGTGTTGCGTCATTTCACAGGAAATAATAATATTTAAGTAGGTAGTATAATTTGTTCCCTCTCTGCTGATGAATAATGTATTTCATTTGAGTTCATGTTGTTTTGACTTTTTCTAGGTTAAATACAATTCTAAACAAGACACTTCAAATCAATGTTTTTTTAGAGGAAAGTAACCAAACGTAGAATAATATCTCTGATACGGGATACCTCTTAAATTGTTTCTAATTAGGAAAAAAATTGAAAAATTTCAACTATTTCAATATTTTTATGAAAGTATATTCAGTATTCCTTGTATCAGTAAACAAAGGCATCTATACAATTGTTTCTCAAATGAAAGAGATACTCAAATAAAAGAGATACTTTGAAAACAATAAGCTAAAAATCGGTAGTGATAATTTTTAAACATTAGTTGCAAATGCTTAACGCTGGGGGCAAATAAAAAAGCACATATGTAGTAATTTTATTTAGTATAAACTATTAATGAATCTTGTCGTATTTGTCGTGTACAAACTACGACAGACCGTAAAGTCTAAAGAGTAATCTAATATTATGTATGGTGGGAAACTTCCGTCAACACGCATCACACGTGTCCAGCAGTGAAAGTGATGGACAACTATTTCACTGTCGTTTAACAAGAAATTGCATTTCTTTTAACACTATGAAGCGTCACTTAACACAGACCGATGTTCTTCAATTCTTATCTACTATACTCGTACATATAGAAGTACCTAGACCCTATCTTAGAATATCTATTTCACTATCTAAAAGATATACTTTACTGTTTTTATTACGATAACAGTTATTTAAGAAATTTATTTCTTACTCATTTTTAAATTTACCATATAACAATCAAATGCAATAGAGAGGAGAATCAAATATAAATAGAATTTGAGACGATGAACTATGTTTCGTTCTGGTAAAAGAAATAAAGGTATACTTAGTACCTAAATAAATTGGCGCCCACCGTGGTGTTTATTTTTATTGATTGTAATTATCAATAATGATGCGTAAAAATTACCTTTAAAAAAATCACCGTCTAAACCCTGATATGTATCAAATTTATACAAGTAATATACATGTGAAACTATTGATTCACCGAGTTAAGAAAATTATAGCATTCGCGAAGCGTCGACATATGATTTTTGTGCGCCTCTAAAATAATAAGTTAGTTATCTAAATAAACAGATCCACTTTTTTCAAAATGTGTACATACGTGGTCTAAGAATCAGTACACTATACATGTCGACAAGGGTATATATATATGATATAAAGGAAAATTGCAACAACAAAACACAATAATTGATTGAGAGAGAGGGGACTCATTAGAATTTAATATACCGTAGCCGGTTCCTAAGTGTCGCCATATCTGAAGTCCGCGTTTCAATCCTCAGTTGTGTCAATGTTAAATGACCTGGGTGTTGTAGTAACTTTTTGTTTCTGATTTACATAATAGTGTTGCTTTAGATATGGGATCGATAGACTTGGGATCTGAGCAATATGTGATAATGTTGTCTAATATTAATTTTTTTATAACCAATTTCTAGCGGATGTCGAAAAATTTAAAATAAATTTCACAATTTCCGATTTTTTTAATGCAATCGCAGGATCTCCCGTGGCAGCAGCGCGAGCGCAGCGCAGGTGGCCCACCAGCTCGGCGACGTGATGGCGGCGAGCCGCGACCACGACTGTGAGCGGTTCCACTGCCAGCTCCACTAATGACTGAACAACATCACCAACCCACCAGGAATTGAAATCTCACAAGATATGGGAGACGCGTGGCATCTATTTTATATGAAATATATAGAACGAAATCGAGTGTACCGAGTTAAATTCATATCAATTCGGAATGACGAATATAATGAAACTGGAAAAAGGACTTATTTAAACATGACCAGTGAAAGTTTGAAAGCTGATGAATTTGCCATCACTTTTGAAAAACGATTTTATATTTACAAATATGTAAAATAATATAAATTTTATATTTTACAATATAACAAATAACACTATGATATTAATACACAGAAGAACAATGTTACACATTTTTTGTAAATGTATAGTAGAGTGTATCTATACAAAATGGTTTGTATTGTAATACTACTATTTTGAAATTATTAAATAAACATTGTATGTAACAAAACTATACTAATCGAAAGAGTAATTACAAAAAGTTTTATATCACATAAAATCGAAGAACAACGTTGTATAGCTATTAATCTTATTAGATAGCGAAATAATTATCCATGGATTAATTAAATTACAACAACTTTAAACAGCGAGATTAATAGGTAACGGTATCTGATGAGACATTTGGTCGTGTTCACAAAAACATGAATAATCTTGTGCTTCTAACATTTTACTTTAAAATTTAAAGTAAAATACTAGAAGTATTTTAGAAGCTTCCTTCTTTCGGTGGGAATTCAGTATTTTACTTTCAAGATTAAATAAAAAGTATTTTCAATATTACAACTGCAAATACAGGTGATCTGGCACTGGAGATGTGATTTTAAATATCTAATTAAAATCAAACATCGCTTATTTGCTCAAATATAAATTCGATTAAATTGTAGCTGTCGTATATATAAATACCATGCAATTATCTTTTTTAGAGAGAGCATTAAAATAAACGTAATCCAAAGAAAACAAAAATAAATTCTAATAATAATAAATTACTCAGAAGAGATCAAACAAAGTTGACCATCATTATATAATTTTGACTTTATTCCTTCGTCACAGACAACTTTAATGAAGACTTTAAAATTTATCAAATAGCAAGTATGTTGCCAGATGCCTAATTGCACAAAGAAATATTTAATACAATCTGTACCCTTTTCATTTAAAAAACCATCGAGGGCGAAACGATATTTGCACAGCACCACCTACCATCATAACAGGAACTGAAATGTCCATTACAAAATTGGACAATTGTGTTCGGTTCGAATTAAATGCGCACTTGATGTTTTTTACAATAAGGGCGCTGATGTACAGACAAGTGATTTACTAGGTAAACGTTTATTATTATTATTAAATAATTATTTATTCTTAAATTGTAAGATTAGTTTAAGCCAGTTTTGATTTCAGGGTGAGATTAAAGTTAAAAGCAAACAGTGAATAGAAAAGTGCCAATACACGAATCTCTATATTATTTGAAATAAATCAATACTTTTTTTGTTGCTTTCAGAAGAAATATAAAGAGTGTCATTTAACTTTTGTTTGTATTTTACTAGTACTCATGTATCGCTCGCATCTTATTAATAACAAAACTGTATGAAAAGTAACAGCCATAAAATTTCATTGTTCCTAAAGAATATCTTATTATATAAAAAAAATACATCTAAAGAACATCACCCACGAACATCTTATTTTGTATTTATTGTTACCAAATAACTATTTTTATAATCTATTCCTATGAGAACAGGGGGCGTACTCTTAAATGCAATTTTCAACGTATGCTGTCCTACACTATTACATTCAAAATTCATGAGTTAGATTAGGACAGCTGACAGAACAGTCCACGATATTTTAAGTATCGACTTTTTAGAGTACAGAGCCAAATACTGTATTGCACGTCATAATATGTTTAAGTATTTGTTGCAAGATTTAGGGGACACGCTTTACAATAGTGACTTATAATGTTAAAAAAAAATTGACATTATTATGAGAAGTAGGAATCTAAGAAAATAATGTACAGACGACAGCACACCAGGTTTCGTAAAGGGTTTTTATTGATTTTGGCGCTACTTTATAAGTACATTATAAAAAATCTTATCACAATAAAATTCGCTAAATCTTGATATAACGAATAAGTTCAATTTTATTCATAAACATTATTTATTATATTACATAAACGATATTATTATCCTTAAATTTAAGTTAATCTTTTAGACGCTTTATTTATTTAAATTATATTAGAAAAGCGATGATAAGTTGTAAATATGCTTTAATGAAAATGTAAATTATTTATTTATTTTTATAATAAAACAATTACCATTAAATTATGTTTTATTAAAGAAATCCACTTATAATTTTTCTAAAATGATGGAGCTTCATACATACAAAAAAACATATAAGAAGAATAATTTAAATACCACAAATCACTTTTCATCAGCAACTAATTTAGTTACTTCTGCAAATAAAGAAAACAAACAGGAGATATAAATAACCAATCTTCATGTCCATTTAGATCACTATGTAATTAGATCTGTGGCCTAATTGTGTTATTCCAATATCTATAGTAATCAGTTTTAAAGGAATAGCGATTTTGATAGAAATGTATGGGATTGTGTAACGTACAATGTCGCAATCGCTCTCGAAGGGAACGATGATTTGAATAATCATGTAATATTAGACAATCCTAATTCACGGCAAATTAACAATATCGTTCTTTCACGTGACAAATAGTTTAAGCCAAACCACAGAACACAGAAGATAGATCTCTCTCTATGTTCTGTGGTTTAAGCGGAAAATTCGTGACATCTGTCGAATGTCAAATTGAAAGGATTGTCATAGATTTTTAAAATAAATTGTAACGTTGATACATACATTCAAATTCAGTATCAGTATTAAGTTCGTTACCCGCTTCCGTGGATAGTCAAAAAGCGAAGTATACATTTAACGTCCGCAGATGTCCCTTCTTAAAAGGATTACGGGACACAATTATTTTTCTAGAATATCACATAAAATATTCAAAATAGGTACCTACACCTTAAAATTAAAGCATAATTTCGGTTTTAAGTCCGAGTAGACTAATGGAGTGCGAAAAGAATTGCATAATATTTTTGTTGTTGTGTGAACTGGGACATACATACCATGGTCTCCGCCTCCTCGCTGCTCGCCTCCAGGCTCCGTGTACTGGTTGCACTCCAAACAGGGCTGTAGCTCTTCCTCCATCATATACAACTGACCACAAACAAATATTAAATAGAATCAACCATTATTTTGTGGTAATCCATAGTGTTCATACAATCCATAGGTCCTAACTGGGTGTCTTAGATTTAGTGTGATAAAAAATACTTAATATTGTAGTTTTGCTATTGTCACAAACATTTATAATAATGCGCTTTTCATTTCTTCAACAGCAAATAATATAATATATCTATACATTAGAAAATATCACATACACCCTAGAAAGAACGAGCCATAAAGCAAAAGAAGATGATATCAACGTTGATACCGAAATAACTTAAAATTATAAGTAAACAGCGATAAGTATAATAATAAGTCACTGTATTTTATATGTGAAGTATTATCATCCATAGAAATAAGGAATAGTGTTGGTCCTAAATGAGAACCTTGGGGAAATGATGATGCCGATTAATGGTATTGTAATGCAAATCCGTTTCCCCTCGTTGAGATCTACAACTAAAATGAGAATGAAGGCACTGTAACCTATTGTTCCATTAATCCCCCCCCTAGTCCGCCAGTGTGTTCAATAGAAGGAATGTCTTACTATATCAAATGCACTACTGAAATCATTATCTAATTCTAGGACATCTGTTTACTTAATATAGCCATTTACCTGAGGTAATATTATTTAAATAAAATTTGGAATTGAGCACGTATCTTTTTTTTTTATTTACAAGTATAATTTAGTAAAAAAGTTTGACAAAAAGAAGTCAGATGTGATTGAACATTATATTCAAATCGATACTAACCCGTCCGTCAGTGCCATGCCCGGTGAATCGCGAGGTGGGTGTGCGGGGCGGCGCGGGGGGAGGGGACGCTCGCTCGCGCGTCACTGCCGACGACAGCAGCGTGTGAGAACCACCCACCCAACGGTTGCAGATGTGCTTTCTAACATGAAGAACAGATTACATAGATTTAAATAATTGAAAAAAAGTGTAAAATCTAAAAACGGAGATATACAAATATTTTAAATAGCTATGATTAGTACATAAATTTCAACGATGTAACGAATACAGGTATTCGTTATACAGGCAGTGGCGTAGAGCGGCAAAATTTTTTTTTCGCCGAAAACTTTTGTAAATATACGGCAAAATTTTACAGTAAACAATAAAATATATTTTTTTAATATTTGAAGCAATTCATATTTTTAACGCAACTATAAATTCGGACAGAATGAAAAGAGCCCGGAAAGGACATCGCCGAAAATGGCCCCAATACCATTAAATATTACTACTTCAATAATAATTACTAATTTATTTATTAAATTGGAATCACATATTTATTAGACACGGACAAGCTGCGATCCAAAATTAATATTTAAAAGAACTTTAACAGTAACATTTTTATTCACAAATATTCACATTCAATACACTTAAATTCTATGAAGTCAGATGGATGTTATTTACACGTCAGATTAAGAAGATCATTTATTTTTATTGGATAACCTTTAAATCATTGAACACAAAAACATTAAATGAAATTGACCGAAAATAAACTTAAATTTACTAAAAGCGCCATCTCTTGGTGATTTTCCAACTAAAACATAAGGACATAAAAACTGAATATTATACAAACTAAATTCATTAACTGTTGATAATTCACTCTTGTTTATTCAGAAAGATTGATATTCATACGACATATCCTAAAAACTACTTCGTTTCTATTAAATTACCTTTATATTTCTCGTAAACATATTAATATCATGTCATTTATGTATTTAAGGCGCCATCTTTTGATGTAAACCATCAAAAAGCTATAGGTTTTTTAATTTAAGATTATCAACAGGTATATTATTTAACTATTAGAATGATTTATTTGTCTATTGATTGACTTAGAAACTTTTACAAATCACAACGAAAAACCGACTTTTTTAAAGTTGAGTTTTTTTGCTTCGACAATATAGACATCAATATCATATCATGTACTTAGTGTGCCATCTCTTGGTGGTTTTCCAAACAAATTATAACCTCAAAATGAATTATATTTTGCTTGATAATAAGTTCTAAAACTCAGTCGCGGTATAATGAATACTACATAATAAGAATTAGTGACACACAATAAAATAAGTATTTTCCTATATTTTTTTGGCTCTGGAGCCACCAATGTATGGACGTTGAGCAATGTCCTTTCATTACTTATTCTGGCAACACCATCTATACTGACTTACAAGGATTTCCCGTATTTTATTTTGTGCTTGGATTTTTTATGACATAAACAGCAAGAATGACTTCTATTAAATATATATTAAGTTAAATATTGTTTATTACATCCCTTTAAGGAAGTACGTGATGCTTTGACAATTCAAACAAAGTTTCATTCATAGATCTTCAGTTGTTAAGTTCATTTTTTTTTTAATTTCAATTTATTTATTTTTTCTAAAGCCACGCCCGTTTTTTAGCATCCGAGATGCTGGACTTGTATGATGGAAAAAGTATACCCAGACTAAGAATTAAAATTAATAATTTGTAAATCACACGAAGGATTGTCCTTTGTGGGGATCGAACCTACAACACTCGATCCGTGGGCCGTTGCATGGCGACAAGTAAACTACACTAAATCTAACCTGTATAATGCAAAATAATGATGACAGTTCTTGCCGAAAAATTCTTTTAAAATGATGAATGTAATATATAGTATAGACACCTACGCTACGCCACTGTAAGTTATAATTAACTAATGATAATAAGTTCAGAACTATGGAAGGGAAGCCTAATGAGAGATTTCGGGATTAACTCAGGTATCGTTGATTAACTTAAGAGGATAAGTTGCATATTATACATTCTATTGAATGAGTCGCCCATTATAGCCCATTCAATCATCACTATCAAGCACATCAACAAACAGTTATATAATTACATTCACAATTGCAAATCTGTGTGCCTTCCCTGCGATGTTCAAGGACTTCGACTTCGCAGACACTAGTTATTTATACACAATTGTCACCCATACGCTAGGGAATGTAATCGCCAAATTCATTTATTTACTACACAAAACCTTTACAAACGCTTCTTGTACTCCAAATATCTAGCTCACGCATACTTTGGGTTTTACACGAGGAGTGCGATAGAAACGCAATCTGACCTGTCGTCAGGGACGTCGGGCGGACGCCACGTCGTGAGACAGGGCTCGTCGCTGGCGGCGGGGCGGAGCGCGGGCAGCGGCGGCGGCGCGCCGAAGCACGGGTCCTGCGGCTCGATGAGCGCCGGCACCAGGCACGAGCCGCAGTGCGCGCCCTTCGATAGCGCGCGCATCACCAGCGCAGCCTGATCGCCGAAGGTGCGATACGTATTCAACAGATATTTACATGGTGAAATATCCTCGACAAATCAACTGGAACTCCTTCGGTCTCACTCGAAGCGTGATACGTAGGCGGGATGATAAATAGCTAGCGTTAGTATTTTACTCATTGGTTCATTAGCTGCCAGTGTTCCAAATTTCAAATCAATCGTATAGTCTTTCTTTTAAATATTGACATTTCAAAAAGCATTATTTTGTTTTTCTGCAAAATGGATAAAATTGAGCTACGAGCTATGATAAAGTTTTTGCATTTAAAAGGATTAAAAGGTAGAGAGATTTTTTCGGAGATGAAGGATGTTTTGGGAGAAAATGCTCCTTCATATGCGACCAAAAAAAATGGGTGGCTGAATTTAAACGTGGCCACACCAGCACCCAAGATAAACATCGTCCAGGACGTCCAAAAAGTGCCACTACTCCAGAAATTGTGATCAAAATTCATGACAGTTTTAGCTGACCGAAGATTCCGAGATAGCTGTAGGCATCTCTAAAGAACGGGTGCATTACATTTTGACTCAAGAATTATGTATGAAAAAATTATCCGCAAGGTGGGTGCCGCGATTGCTTACAGTTGACCAAAAACGCGTTTGTATGCAAATTTCACAAGAATGTTTGGACCGCTTTAAGAGCAATACAACTGATTTTCTGCGAGGGTTTGTTACTACAGACGAGACTTGGGTTCACCACTATATACCTGAACCAAAAATTCAGTCTAAACAATGGACGGAAAAAGGATCCCCGGCTACAAAGAAAGCAAAAGCCGTGAAAGCACCGGGGAAAGTCATGGCATCAGTATTTTGGGATTCGAAGGGTATATTGATGATTGATTACCTTCCAAAAGGACAAAACATAAATGGCGAATATTATGCTGATCTACTGGATAAATTACAAGTGTGTATTCGTGAAAAAGACCCGGCCTGGCGTAAAAAAATAAAAGCGCGCGTTCACACGTGCATCACTGCGATGGCAAAATTCAAAGAATTAAATTATGATTTGCTACCACACCCAGCTTATTCTCCAGATCTGGCACCATCTGACTTTCATCTATTCCCTAAGCTCGAAATTTTTTTAGGTGGACAAAGATTTAAACACAATAGCGAGGTGATGTCTGCCGTGGACAGTTATTTTGAAGGGCTTGAAGAAAACCACTTCAGGGATGGCATCAAGGCTTTAGAGCATAGATGGATGAAGTGCATAGCGCTTCAAGGAGACTATGTCGAAAAATAAATATACTTTTAACACACTAATTCAAGTTTTTCTATGCTAGGCTAGCTATTTATAATCCCGCCCTCGTAACGATAAACCGATCGGTTCCTGTATGACAATTGCATACTCTGTTTTGGATTTTATATATGAACTTTGGAAGAAAAAGAACACCCTTTTTATCTGATCTGATGAGATCTGAGTCCAAGAAAATTTTCTTATTAATCCTATTATTGATTAAAATATTAATAGACGGAACGACCGAAAACCGCATCCCTGCAGACTTATCTTTCTACTGATTTCTATCTTCGAAATTATTTCTAGCACATAATACTATGGCTATATAATAGTAAGGGAGCCCAAGCGGGGATTTCGGGATTTACTAAAGCGCGGCAGATTAATATACAGGGGGATACCTTGTACCCAGTTAAGTACCTGGACCAAGTATGAGCCCTATAAAAATGGCCGCCCGGCAAGGACGAAGGATCAGATTAGTAAAAAAAAATTGATCATCTGAAAATCTCGAGCGCGTCAGATTAAGGTAAGGTGAGCTAGTTACATGCTAAAATGTGTACATACCTCTAATCTGACAATTTGAGAGTGACGTAAGGAAGGGGGAAGGCTACAAAATTGTAAAAAAAACGTCACTTTGACATTCTCGAGCCTGGCTAATTTTTTTTTTATTTTGAAGGGAATCATTCAAGGATTACAAAAAATATATAATCTGACGATTGTCACAAGCCGAAGTAATAAAAATTCATCGATAAGATTTAATGCTTTAATCATGCGCTACGTGATACCTATATTTCCTTCTCCGCATCACTATTTCTCTCTCTTTTTCTGTCTATTTCTCTCTCATTCTGTCCCCACTCTGGTTTCGGTTGCCATGACGCCATGACAGCTGATGACACAGACTCGTTCGTGGCGTGATATTGTTTACATCGTTTTTCCAACGTTTTTGCTTATTTTGTTATTTTAATGTAAATTTTGTGAATTAAACTTTTACATATTTACTAAGAGAAGAAGAGGAAGATGATTCTAGCGACGAAGATGATAATTAATAAAAATTACTGTAAAAATTTAATTTTCACATAATCATTTTCTTATAAATATAAGTATTTTACATGAAAAAAACATACACTTTTTTATTTGTATGCTAACTCCGGTGCTTTTCTATTTAACTAAGCTCAATGATTTGAAAAAATTTTAAAAAAAAAATTTTGTGTCAGTTTAAGTAAATCTCTTCAGATAATCATCAGATTATGAGATATCACGTCTGGGGCATAAAGATGAACCATATATATCTTAATCTGACGCGCTTGAGTATTTCAAAATGGCGATTTTTTTTTGCACATTCTAATAATGGTCACGCGTTTGCGTCACATCCAAATCGTCAGATTATTATATGAGAGCTTTTTTTTAGGTTCACTTGACATCCCCTCAAAAAATCTGACGCGCTCGATTAAATTATATTTTTTTTCATTTTCAACCCTTACGTATAACCACCCCCATCATGGAAACGATCAGATTAACATACGATAGTTTTTAAAAATGCGTAGGACATGGACGATATTAATATCTGACACGCTCGAGTATGTCCATACAACAGTTTTTTTTTTTACATTTTTAAAAATCTATAGCCGCTTCCCCCACCTATGAAAGGGTATATATTAAATGATTTTTTTTTTATCATCTAAGCTTCGCAACCCAATAGGTCTCTATGACGCTCGAGTAAATCCCGATTTAGCATCGTGGGCTCCCCTACTATAATATCTTATGTCGCTCTACAAAAAATCATAAAAGATCGTAACTCCAAACATAGCAGCCAAATAAATAATCAATTATTGCACTGGTTTCATTTACAAAAGTGAAAACGAAATTCATTCTCAGAATTTACTAACGCTCACTACTGCTCCCTTGTTGGGTCCGTGATCGATTACACACCTTGGGCTCTCCCAGTAAAACGGCGAGGTGTCCCTGTATCTCTTGCAGTTCCCGTAACTTGTTCTCGGCATCATCACGAGCCGCTAACAACTGCGTTATCTCCGCCTTGTGCTCGGTCACTGCCGCCAGATCTTTCAAGGCGGTCTGTTTAGCAAAATTGTAGATGCAGTTCATTTTTCAATCATATGAAAGACTCCCTATCTACCTACTTACCTAATGAGGATTCGGTTCTATCTCTTCTACATCACTTCTGTTAGTTAAATAAATATTTTAGATTTAACAGAGAAGTCCAAAGCATCGTGTGCTTTAGAAATTTAGAGATGGATCTCCCGTCACCTTATTTTTAGATTAGGTATAAATTTGTAATCCTCAATAATGTAATTTGGTCAAATATATTCTTAAGGATTTTGTATTAAATAATGTCGTAATGATATTTTTTCGTTTAATTTAATTTATAAGAAAAGGTGACATGGCTTTATTTGCATTTAATTAAAATCCCGTTTAAACCCATCAAACACTTATACTTAAAATATTCTACGAGGAACTCAATGATGGAAATTTAGAGCTTTGGACTATAACAAAGATTTAACAAATCTCATTAAGGGCAGCCAATTGATGGCAAAACAAAAATTATAATATTGAGTTCCTCTATGCTTCGGAAAGCACGGCAATTGAGAGGTCACGGCTGCATCTACAGTTGTTGACACCCACCAATCGGTACTAGATACGCGCGATGGATAATTTTTTTTCCTTATACGAGCGTTTGCACAGAGCAGGCCTGTATCGCAAAATAGAGGGTAGCTAATGGCATTAAAATACCATCCAAGCGGTCTCTTGTTTATGAAACTTGTCATGGCAGACAGCGAGCCGCGTCTCTAGCTGTTGTCGCGCCACCGCAAACTCCAGCGCCGTCAGCAGGCCCGCTAGACGAGAGTTATCAGCCTGGAATACTAGTTAGGCTGACCAATGTCTTTTATAATAAACATTGACATCTACACAGAAGAAAAAAGAAAAAGAAGAAACATTTATTGATTGATACGATCGATATAGAGCTATATCTAATTATAAACTCTAGAAACAACAAAATATAAATTTAAATATTAAACAAGAATGTAGGCGACATAATTTAAAAGAAAGACAGGTATTGCGCAAAAAATACAAGAAAAATTAACAGTTTAATGTCCAGATTCAGATGACGAACTACACTTCGAATAAAATCAAACTGTACATACCTCGAGTAAATTACTAACCAATTTTTATAATTGTTAATGTTCAACGTTTAAAAATCCTATATTTTAAATAATTGTGTCATACTTACTAGACTCTTGGCAGCTTGTCAAGATTCCAAACAGATTAAATGTTACCTTATCCCTCAAGCCGTCCAAAACTTCATCACGATCGGCCTTTTGCTCACGTAACATCTCCACACACTCCACCAAACTCTGCAAAACGCAACTTGAGCGTGATAATGAAATGTAATTCTCTTTTTACCATTATAAAATATGTTAGCTATCTCGCCACCTTAAATTGGCCATATTATAACACAGAATATTAAACGGCATCACATGCATTGCTCAGATCCCAAGATGAGAAACTAAAGCACTTGTATTATTCACTTACAAACCCGGGACAAGATGTAAAAGTTTATTTTCTACATTGACCGAACAAGTTCTATCCGTCTGTGCCTCTTGTAGAAGCTATTACGTATCTCCGCAACCATTAGGACCCATTTACATCCCATCCATTTGAATTCAGAATACGTGTGTACGTATATACCCGCAACTCGTCGCCCAGCCGTTTCTGGAAGACAGTGAGGCCAGTATGTACGTGCAATATGCGATCCATCTCGGTCGTCAGCTGCTCGAACCTCTCGTTCAACTCCACTATCGCTGTAAGAACCACCATTCTAAATTCGGCGTCATCAACCAAAAAAATTGATTCAAAATAATTTCAGTAGCAGCTTTCTTGAATAATTAAATAAACAATTTATTTAGGGCAACAATTGACAAAAAAAACTTAGGGTTCAGTCACCTGTTGTCTCCGCGTTGTTGTTGACGAGCGCCAACTGCGCCAGTCCCGCTTGCAGGTCTACACGTATCTGAGTCATTTGGTCGCGGAAACTCGACATCTGTATAATTGTACATATTAGATAACACTGAATATTCCTACATATTTCTTTTCTATAATCTATGACATGATCTCAGCGGCAGCATAGATCGTGGCAGCTTGATCGTGTTGTCATGGATCTTATTTCAGTGGCAGAATACCCACATGGTACGTAGCTGCAAAATAGATATCAATAAACTGTTTTTTTTTTAAAGAAAAGAATAAATACCCGAATGGTTTTTATATTTCTTACTTGTATTAAACAACTTCTATATTAAATATAATGTATAACCTATTTCAAATTAGACTGAAAGTAAACGAACCCACTGTTTGAAAAATCAACATATTACACATTTTGATTACAAATAGTCTTCTCCGCCTTGCGAGATAATCGAACAATCCAACCTTACTATATTAAAAACTAATATTGACCTGTGTGGATAGTCCACTATCGAACCCGTTGAGTTGATCGGCGTAGTCCGTCACTTGATTGGTCAGTGAAGTGATACGACCGCTCAATCCAAGGGCGATGTTCAACTTGTCAGCTACAAAATAAAACAAAGTTTGTCGATCAAACAAATCTTCACTACCAGAATTTTCCACCAATGGACGGAGTAGGTAATTCATGAGGAAAATCTGTTATTCACTAAGGTTTTGCGGAAATTACCTGAACCAGAACAATTAGAGCGTGTAGAGCCATAAACTGGCAGGTGGACATTGCCTACCCTTGCGTGAAAATTAACTTTGACAAAATGTCACTTACAAACACCACGTGCTATGTGGTTAGCATTTTCAGCCGTCATATTGGCTTTCGCTGTCATCGTCTGCGCCTGCTTCATGAGATCGTCCTTGAGCGCCTGCAGAGCCTCTCTATCATCACACATAACTATTATTACACAGCCGTTTTCAGCTCAGAGGAGAGAAAAGCACGAATCGAGTACTCAAAAGTTTACGGCCACAGTTAAGCATTACCAAATATGATATTGTATAGTAGCTAGGTGGGTTAGTGGATAACCGCCGCGGCCCGCAGTAGTTGTTTTTTACCAACTTTTTTTAAGCAAGGGTGTGTCACGGGATGGATAACCAAAAAATTATTATCTCAAGCTACTCCATGCTCCGGAAGGTACGTTAAACTATTGGCCCGGATGCATTTGCAGTCGTTAATACCCTCCAATCCGCATTGGGCCAGCGTGAAGGGTCATGGTCCTTCCTCCTTAATCATCCATAAGGAAGGCCTGAAGTGGAGACATACAAAGAGCTGATTCGTGCATTCCCAAATGGTGATGTTTTAAAATAAATGACGCCTAACTTTAAAATAAATGAAGGAAATTAAATTGTTAACCAAAATTCAGTAACGTTGCATATAACAATGTCACATTCAGACTCCTGAACTACATAGATCGCAGATTATAAATGCATGTAGGACCGCACTTAAAGCAGGAACAGTGCTGATAAGAGCCTTTGTGCAAAAGAAAGGGCCAGAATTTTAGTACTTTATCCCCTGAGCTTATGGTATATTAAATATATACGGCTTAGCCGAAAATATTTCTATCAATACTTACTCCATCTCTGGATGTGTAACACCGGGCATCTCAAAGATAGACTCACGCTCCATGGACATACGCGACGCTGCCACGGAGTATCTGGAAACGCCCTTAATGGGCTTCTCATCCCCGTCCGACCCGTCAAAGATCGAAGGGTCGATGGCCACAGATTTGTGCGAGACGGTACTCGGTCTGCGCTTGATTCCCGCCTATAAGTTAGAAAAAAAATAACCAGAAGCATCTTCACCAGTCTCTATTTATTTATAATGATTAGAAACAGTATTTAAGGCTAAGAACAGGTACAAAGAGAAGACATTACTAAATTCAATGGGCCAGATGATACACTTGTGTTATGACAAAGTTACCCAGCTACATTCATCTTTTAATGCGCCTACATTGATGTTACGAAAATTGTTAACAAGTTATATAATCATATTTTAGCAAATAAAGACTTTATTATTATATATAAGTTTGTTGTTTATTAATATTAACAATTTTGATTTTATTAAAATTGCTATAATATATGTTTTCTTTGGTCTCGACTCGCTTACTTATCTACTCTTATTTCAAAATTATTAACGGAATTTTCATTTCATGAGCAAGTTTTAAATTAATCGTTACCTCTCCAATCTTAAGTAAAGCATCCTTGGGTAATGCCCCCGATGCTACCAACTGTGTTAACAAGTCACCCATCTGGGCTACAGCCTTCTCCGCTGCATTCACTCGCGCTGCCAACTGAGAACCATAAAATAAAAATGTCAATAAACAAACCATAATACGAATCGCTTTTGTACTCAATACCAATCTGACTTGTGATATATTAAAATAACTCCTGAATAAAAACCTTCTAACGTCTTTCGTAATGAGACAACGATATTTCATCGACTGTAACAAAAATCACGCCAAACAAGTAAAATAACGGTGTCTATTATGACTACCACCTACACAGCGGTCAAGATAAAGGTGTAGGGACAAAGTGGTGAAGAATAGGTGAACACCTGCATAGCCTCCATGGTGTCAGTGAGCGAGGCGCTTCCCCTGGCGATGTCGGTCCTGAGCTTCTGGTTGGTGGGAAGTGCGGGGGATGGGAGCGGGCCCGCGCGCCTCTGCAGATCACGGACCATGTCCGAGACCAGCTCAAACTGGGACCGCGTCACCACCTCGATGCTGTCGCGACGATCTTATCGCAACAATTTAGAACTTCAAGCAGATGTATAATAAATAAATAATAAATCGTTATTGGCACAGTAGGTACCTTTTTCTCCTTTATTTTTCGATGTTTATAACATGTAGATATTTTTCGATATATTTTTAATATATATTAACTTACCACTATAATTATAACAGTTACTCGAGATTCATTGAACTTAACTTAAACGACTTTAGTTTCATCACCCCACAGCGTTTACCAGACTTCAAATCTTCGTAGAAAACTTAAAGATATTATTCAAACATCCTAACCGAGTCGTGCCGCGGGACCTTTCTCGACTGAAAAGTAAGAAATGTTTGTCAAACATAAATAAAAAGGAAAGACGCACGCAACATGATAATATTTACCAACTAACACCTTCTCTTTCTGGCGCTCCACTTCTACAGGGCAGAAAATAAATATTAGTGAATGAAAAATTAAATAACACACAAAATTAAATCTTAATGAATCTTTTAATTATATGTATTGAAAACTTTATATTTCTGATGCAAAAATATACTCACCTGATACGGCAACACTGGTTCCAGAGCCGGTTCTTTTCGATTTCTCTTTCTGAAATAAAAAAAAAACAAACAAATGTAGACAGTAAACATAATCTTAAATGCAAAAATTAAGTACTAGGAGCGCATAATATAGTAATAAATTAATAAGCACTGGTTAACGTAATCAGTGGCGGATTACCCTCTCTCTAGGCAAACTAGGGATAAGGGGACGACTGTTTGGTATCCTCAATTGCTATGGTGTAACCACAGACAGAGGAGGTGCTTGCCTAAGGCGCTGTCAATCAGCTTATGAACGTGTAATAAATACGTAAACAAATGTTACCGATTTTTCTCGCGCGGACTTTGCAGACTCTTTAGTAGTTTTATCTGCTTTAGCTTTCTCCTTATCGGCACCCTTTTCTTTGTCACGTTCTTTAGCGGTAGCCTTATCACTATCAGATTTATCTTTCTCTGCTTTTCCTTTCTCCTTTGATGGCACTCGCTCATCTTTATCTTCATCTTTATCGGCCTTATCTTTGGCCATTGCTTTTTCTTTCCTTGGGGACAATTTAGACTTGGTCCTTTTATCCCTGGTTGGACTACCTTTATGTTCCGGGGAAGCATCAGCATCTTCAAAATCCTCCAAATCGTCAATTTTTATTTCAACTAGTTGCTCTAGCAAACGCATCTGCCGAGCTAGAATATGAAGGATCGTCTGGACCAATTTGAAGTGTACTACGTTGCACTGGAAATTAAAGATACAAATTTTCTATAATTTTGGTGAAAAGTAAAACATCGTGTACCATTGAGGAAGTACGCGGCATTTTCCATTCATACAAAAATCTTTTTTGATGTCAGATGCACTTTTGAAAGCTGTAAGAAGCGAGCACACGATCTGTTCTGAAAAATTAATAGCAAATGGGCGTATTATTACTATTTGAACATCTAAGCAGAATTGATGGCGAACCATCTGATTCTTCAATTGTTCATGGTTTTGTATATATTGTACCTATACATAAAAAATATAGGTATACGTTATCTTACGTTAACCGGACCCAAGGCTCTGTTGATGAGATCCTCGACGGTAATCAGGAGCGTTTTGTCGCTCATGCTCGGTTCATTAATCCGCTTTATGTTAAACATTGTTAAGCGTTTAGTTGTTCAATTAATATGTTTATATCAATACTTTATTTCTACACCACACAAAATCTGCTTATTTGTTTGAAACGATCCTAAAATCTGCTATGACACAATAGAAGTCTTTGTTATGACATGATATGACAAGGTTTCGAATTAATTAGGTTTACGTTCTTTTTGCATTGAAAGCTCTGTTTTATCATAAAAAGAGGTGTGAATCGTTTGTGATAATTGGTACGAATAGCTATGTTAACTAAGCGATTGTTACTATACACACGTTGTGAGAAACTTGTGCTCCTACTCAATTAAGAGCGCTAAGTTTCATATCACATATCATTGATACTAAAATAAAAACCGTTAAATATCCGCTTAAACTCTAGTTATTTTACGCAATTCACAAAATCCATAAAATGTCCTAATAAAATAACTATTATTGAATCCGTAACGACAAAACAGCATACGAGGACTAAGTTTCCAACCGTTCTGCTTATAAAAGCAGCCCCTTATTCGAGTTCTAGACAAGTGAATTTTTAAGCATTTTTTATTACGTTACTCATCAATATAGAATTGAGAGCTAAAAATTAATCAAATATAAATAATAAATAGGCATTCTATTTTTACAAAATTTTATCACGAAGAAACAATAAATAAAGAAATATAACTAAATATAAGTGTAACGAACGAGATCCTCAATAAGACTGGTGAGACCCGCTTGTGAGAGGCCAGTCAAACAGATCCATAAATATGTATGGCCTTCTTGATAGATAAAAACACTGCTTGATAGATTTATTGTTAAATGCTGATGCGGAGGAATGTTCGATCCTAAACTACTTGTCTGTTTTGGGATAAATATTTTGAAACTATCACATTAAACCACTATCAGATTTCTTTTCTCCAAAAAGTGTTGTTTAAGAAAAATGAATAAAAGAAAAACACATTGTTCCGCGAACATACTCACCTCTGAAAAAATTAACTTACCCATGTATCCAAGGGTTAATGATATGATGTTACGTTAGTTTGTTGATATGTAGCGAAAACGCAATGTTTAAATTCTCTGTGTGACTTCATACGATGCTTCGTCATGGCAACCCACATTTCGGTTCTTGTACTCAACATATTATAAACGCTAGTTAATTTTGTAAAATTAATTTACTTTAAAATATACATGGTTGTCGTTTACACATAAGTTACTATTTCCAACATGTTTCCCAATTGTTATGAATGACTGTGAAGTAGTAAATTATTAACAACCATCGAAAATCCTTTATTATATTTTTAAAACAAAAATATAAAAAATAAATCTTAAAAAAAACTACGCAATACTTAACGTGAAATCTGAGTATGTGATTATTTAGGAAACGAGCTCTCCGACTTGACAGTACTTTTATCCCTGGGGTATCATTTAATGGGACAAATCAACCATTTAATTCAGTAGATTTTATCCAAATGCGTCCAGTAGTTTTTGTGTGAAGAATAAACAATCATATTAAGATCATTGTTACATGATTCACTTACTATATTTATAGAGAACACCCAAAACAACTTGTTTGTTGCCAATTATATAAATATGTGCTACGCGAGTATCGGTGACTAATCCAGGCAAAATATATTAAGCACTCTTGTAATCAAAGCAGTAATAAAACAAGGATCGATTTATATAATTATTTATTTAACTTCCGTCTCCTCTCAACACTTAACGTCACATGAAATTCAAACAGCAAGAATATACTTTTATTGCATAGATTATAATTTGTACACATCTTACTGAACAAAACGACGGCCACTACGTACATTAGGCGAGCGTGCTGTCTCTGTCTACTGCGGCGATATAATATAAATCGTATAATAATACTGAGTTTAAATATATATTATAAAATAATAACGTATTGTTCACGAGTATGACGTTACCGAATTAAAAACTTTCACTAAAAATAACGTGGAATGCAAGAGGATTAATTATTCATTTTCAATATTGATTGGACAAAAACAAATCACTCGATATATCAACGGGTAAAATTCATTAGTAAACATTACAAATAATAATTATATTTTTTGTTTAAATATAAATAACAACTAAGTAACACGGAACGCCGCGGGGGTATTTACAGGGCGGCGAACTATAACCAATCTCCACTCTCCGCTACTGCATCACTACTTTGATACCCGCACCGCTGCCTACAACGATCACGAGCCGGTATTATAACGGCATGCGAATAATTACAGTGTAATATCGATCATAAGTAACGTGTGACAACACTCATTAGTGTGACGTTTATAAATAATGAGCATTACAAAATATAAAGTGCAGCTTTCACGTGGCAATATTTTGTCGTGTGTTATTAATTACACAAATAAAAACACTTAAATAACTTTTAAACTAATATCAAATTAGTTTCTATTGTATAATCTTCTAATATTACACTACAATATAATATAGACCGCATCTTTATAATTATACATTAGATTTTTCTAGGTTTTCTGATTGATATAAAGGCTCAGTTGTACGGTTATAAGATCGGAACAAATGGAGCGTATATACAGGATGTTGCCGGATGCAGTGTTAGATACAGTATGTGGCGAATTTAGTCCTCGAGGTTGCGGAAGGCGGCAGACATATCCTCGAGTAGTTGATCGAAATCTGACTTGATCTTAGCTTCGCCGTCTTTCACTGGGTCCTGAAAGAGAAATATACATGATCGTAACAAACTCTAATTGACATGACGTAAAGAAAAGAAAGGAGTCTCGTAATATGACATAAAAATGTATATTTTAAAACACAAGAGGATAAAATATATAATAATATAATGCAGGTTATAGAATACAAAAGGGAGAGTGCGGACGGGGTAGAGTAGGGGAGGGGGGGGGCGAGAGAGCGTGGAAAGTAGAGCTCGGAGTGTGGAGAGAGCAACGAGATATGAAAGAGTAGGGCATCGTGAAGAATAGGTAGTTTAGAGAGTGGAGAGAGCACTGAGATAGGGGAGAACGACGAGAATGGAGAGAGCGTGTAGAGTGTTGAGTGTGGTTACCTTGAATTTCATGGACGAGAGCTGATAGAGCACGGTGCCCATGGCGTCGCGGATCACGTTCCAGGTGACCTTGTTGTCGGACTGCGCGGTGGACTCGACGGCGTGTCGCGACATGTCGTAAAACGATATTATGTTCTTCAACATGCCCACCGTCTTGTAGAACGGACAGAAACGATCGTACGACGAGTAGCTGGGTAGTAGACAAAACGATATAATTAGTATTCACAATTTATAATAATAACATTTAAAGATTGTCATAAAGACTCATTTCATTATTCAATTGATATAAATGAAATAACCATGCCGATTCCAATAGTTTTACAAGAATTACAACGACCCGCCAGCATATTCGCGCGAAACTGATCAAACGTCAAAGTCAAAGTGACAGCCAACTGATAGATAGGGCTGCCCGTAATATAATCGACAATTAGTGCTGCCAGTAGTAGTCGATGTTTTTCCCTTTAACATTATATAGAAACAAAACATAACGTAGGTAGGAGAAATAAGAAACTGAGAGAAAATATTTCTTTAATATGTATGTGTATATGTAAAAAGGCTAGTTCATTAGCAACTTAATGTTTGCACCTAGACATTGATATATTCCAGATATAATTTCATAATTTAAGTATTATATATACTCCTACAAACTGGAACTAATCTTTACTAATATTTTAGAAATATAATACTATTATTATTTAGTTTGCTTTGAAATATAATGAACATATTTGAAAGTTTGGCTGTAAGTGGTAATTTCCAAAACTATTATTCCTCTAATTGTCTTTAATATTCGAAAAAGATATTATTGAGGTATCAGTTAATATTAACCTGTTCTGTTGGAGGAAGTCATCTTTGAGCAGTTTGGCGACCTCGAGGGTGATCTTGTCAGTTTCCGCGAGGGACGCCTTACCGACCAGCTGGACAATTTCTGATAAATCTTCTTCCTCCTGGAGGATCTCCTTGACCTGTACAAAAGTATTCAATATTTGATTAAACATAAATATTAATGATTTGAGGCTTCAGGCGGTGAAAACTGAAAATTATTTTTATTTAATTACTCGTAAGTTACTATGATTATTACATATTTATCAAATTTCCCCTATAAAAAAGGTCTTAGTTATATTATAAAGGTGAAAGTTTGGATATTCGTTACTTCTTCACTGCAAAAACTACTGAACAGATTTTAATGAAATTTGGTATACACGTAATTCTAAGCCTGGATTAACACGTACGCTATTATTTAGTCTACTAAACGGGACCATGCAGGTAAAGCAACTGAAGGAAAACTAGTTATCTATATATTGTGAATTTGAGACGTAATCGTGATATGTTTCCACAGATTTTTATTTATCAATCGTAGCTTGTTGGACGTTGATACGGGTGTGACAAATGCTTATTTTACTGGTGTTGTAGTATACTATTGCCGATAATCACACTTTATGCTAATAATATTTATAATATTGCATAAACTAATAATGAAAAACAAAGAAAGCACTAAAAAGCACCTCACTAGATGGCGACTATAGCAAAAGTTGATTATTGCAGGAAACGAATGGAGCAAAGGTCCTTTTAACGAACATATTAAAAAACAGATATTTGCGAAGTTCGAAACTTACATATTAATAAAAATACGAAAAAGTACAAATGGAATATGAGTTGTTTATTGAGTTTTGAAAACTAATTTACTTTTATACCTACATGAAAGTAAATAAAGTACCGTAGCGACATCTATGTAGTTTGATTTCGGGAACAATTTTTTTTTTTTCTTTTAAATACTTCCTTCATAACACATCGCGTCGTGAGCATTTCTATAAGAGCATCTACCGGGACCATAAGGCGTCGTGAACAAATTTTTCATTCGCTGAGCAATTTAGATTTTCGAGTGCAAGAAATCTATTTAAAAAATTCTCCACCCCCCCTAGTCGTCGTATATAATCGTTCGACAGACCTTGGTCCTGAGGGGCACGAACTCGGGGTAGTTCTTCTCGTAGAAGTCGTCGAGCGCGCGCATGTACTTGCTGTAGGAGATGAGCCAGTTGATGGAGGGGAAGTGCTTCCGCTGCGCGAGCTTCTTGTCGAGGCCCCAGAACACCTGCACGATGCCGAGCGTGGCCGCCGTCACCGGGTCCGAGAAGTCGCCGCCGGGGGGCGACACGGCGCCCACTATCGATACCGAGCCTGCGGACACGTCCACGTACATTGACCTTGAAGCTCTGCTCTTTTGTAGCGAACAAGGTAACGAGTGCTGGTGGTGGATTAGTATCAGTAATAATAAATTATTCACCGAAAGCGAGGTTTATCATATCATTATTTCATTTCTTTGGTAATTTTTTATTTCATCACTATTTCCAATCTGCGGGTTACATGTGGACGAAATATATGTGATGTGTAAGCAATCACAAAGGTTTGTCGGTACAGAAATATATAAGAAAATACATCCCATTAATGTTGCTCAATTACGAATCTTTAAATTCACGGGACTCCAAAAGACAAAAAAATATCGATTTTTCTGAGAAAAATCAATCTGAGTCGATCATGTAGGGATTGAATCTCGATAAAACAAGCGCTAAAAGAATGATTTTCGAATAATCGCAACGTTTTGGAACATATGCAAAAGAATTTTAATAAAGATTATAAAATATATCAAATTTAGGATCGATTTGAATCCATCCAAAGATGTGATATTTTTAACATATGTGAAACGCTATGTTGTGTAAATTGGCTTGATCACAGATCGGGTGAGACGCGAGACAGATACAGGAAGTGACTTGTGAGGTAAATATAGAGAGTTAGAATGTAGTCGGATGTAGTGTAGAGACGGATGTACTGTAGAGTGACGGATGTAGTGTAGTGTGACGGATGTAGTGTAGAGAGGCGGGTGTATGGAGGCGGTTACCCTCGCGGTCGGGGTTGCCGAGGCACTTGACGCGGCCCGCGCGCTCGTAGAAGGAGGCGAGGCGCGCGCCCAGGTAGGCGGGGTAGCCCGAGTCGGCCGGCATCTCCGCCAGGCGGCCCGAGATCTCGCGCAGCGCCTCGGCCCAACGCGACGTGGAGTCCGCCATCATGGACACGTTGTAGCCCATGTCGCGGAAGTACTCCGACAGGGTGATGCCTGCACACAGATACATACTCTTTAAGCTTAGCTGTCAGATACAATCTGCTGTTCCTGAAGGCACCGACTTAGGTCCACTTTTATTCCTATTTTGATTATTTCTGATTTGGCCAAAAAAGTAAACAAAAAGCAAATCTGCAATTTCCAAGATATCCATTATTGTAGTTATCGAAATTTCTATCGACGTTATGGCTATTCTTCATGAAAGATATAGATATACGTTACCTGTATAGATGGAGGCCTCACGGGCGGCTACCGGCATGTTGGACGTGTTGGCGACGAGCGCCGTACGCTTCATGATAGATTCCGTCACACCGTCGATCTCCACGGTCAGCTCGGGGAAGTCCCGCAGTACCTCGGACATCTCGTTACCTAAACGGAAACCGTATCATCATCGTAATTGCGAAACTAAAAAAAAGTGATGAAATCGACGAATACCTGGTAACCGGCCTCATTCGCAGACACATAGAAGGATATCCGGCATAATGTTGCCGTTTGACGTAGCGGAACAAGCGAGCTCGCGGAAAAACGAACGATTGAACCAACTTAAATTAATTCAAATGTGTTCATCATTCGTCATTCATTTATTTATTTATCGAAATCAACTGCTCGTTTCAGTTCATACTTACAAATATATATTCACAAAGCCAATACAGAAGTAGACAGTAAACGAAAATAAATACAGATTTTTTTTTTCTGGTAGTACTTAATATACTATTATTGATAATCACATTTTTTGTGCTCGGTATATTTGTAAGATTACTTAAATTAATTATAAAAAAACAAATATTTTGTACTCGTTGTCATGTAAACAAGTAAGGAATGGAATATGGCGATATTGTGATTCGGCCTAGATCTGGCGTCTGCTAATAAATATTAGAGAGCGACACGTACCTCGCTCGCCGCAGCCGACGTAGATGATGACGTCGCTGTTGGAGTACTTGGAGAGCGCCTGCGAGATGACGGTCTTGCCGCAGCCGAAGGCGCCGGGGATGGCGGTGGTGCCGCCCTGCACGCAGGGGAACAGCGAGTCCAGCACGCGCTGGCCCGTGAGCAGCGGGTGGTTGGCGGGCAGCTTCTCCGTCACGGGCCGCGGCTGCCGCACGGGCCACACCTGCAGCATGCTGTACGCCGCGCGCTCGCCGTCGAACTCCGTCTCCAGCACCACGTCCTGCCGACCCAGACCACATGTTGCCAGAAACTGTGCACTCTGCAGTTTCATTAACAACTGATACTCGATATCATTATAATATAAAGAATATCAATTCAACAAAGACTAGCACCATTAGAGGTAAATTAATTAACATATTCAAAAAACCGGATGAGCACAGAAAATGCTAATGAATCTCGTAAAGTCACACTTTGCCTTTGGGTTGTAGAGGTTGTTAATGGCCACTAAAAGCGAGATTACAAGCTGTTGCGCCAAGAATACTTCAACAGGGCTTCGCTACATTTAATGGATAATTTTAAAGTTGCAGCACCGCTGATAAATATGTTTCACCCGGTGTTAGAATACAGAGAGGATGCAAGAAATATTGTTTCTATCATACAAGAAAAAATGTTCACCAGCGTATTCAATGTAGACAGCGGGCCGATTTGAAAGTCTTACTATAGATACCGAAAACATAAGAGAATTCCCTCAAATGAATTATGAAAACAATTTTGATACCATTAGGAGTATAACCCAATTAAACAGGCCCGGTCGTATTACGGAGAACATGTGAGACAGGATGGTTCCTATGTAATTAAGGTATGCAGAGAGGTCGATGACAATTTGATTAATAACTTGCATTTGAATCCGACGAATACTTCGCTCATACGAGGCAAAATACAAAGTCACCATATAAGCAAAAAAAAAATTGTTTATATATTAATCAATCCACTAGAAACTGGAAGGCATGCAATTGTGCAGTATTGTTGCAATTGTATCGTTGGACGCAGAACAATCGGTTGTTCTGCGTCCTACATGTTATGACCATTATTTGGTACCTCTGCTATGCAAGACACCAAAATAATATAGCTTATCCGCCTACACAATTCTTGAACAGTACATTGATTTCAAACACTTGATATAAGTGATATCCCTGTGTGCAGCAGTAAGATAAGGGTCAAGGCTCGGCGCACGTAAATCACCCAAGAATGGGTGAACCACCGATTTTGAATTAGTTAGTGATGTACAATAAAATAAGTATTATCCTACATTTTTTTGGCTCAGGGACACCAATGTATGGACGCTGAGAAATGTCCTTTTGGTTCCTGTTGAAAAATCGGCCGCGGTACCTATTGTAATGCTTAAGACTGCTTATCAGAATCATCCCTTAAGTAAAACAGAGTATACGATTGGTTTTCACGTTTTAAAAATGGAGCAATGTCAATGCCCTCGTTCGTGAAGACCGTCGCCAAACCATTAACTCTGTGAGATGTCGGTAATGTCATGGAGTTCAATTCAGAGAATTTTATGTACCGCCAGGTTGTCCGTTGACAAAGGCCTCTTCCAGTTAAGAAAGGGATAGCCTATTTTAAATTGAGCAAAGTAAAATGGGCTTGAGATAGTTGAATTTATTTTGTTTTAGCACCTCATTTAGAAATATATGTCTAGTCTAGTAATTACAGGATTTAGATTTCAATTCAGAAATATGCATCCCTATTTAGAGTCCTGCTAGGAACATTATATTTTCGATGTACATAAACTCTATTTTTTGATAAGACAGAATTAACAAATAGTAATATGAAACTCACAGTGACATTGTAGTTGCCTGCGGGTGCGATGTATGTGACCGTTCCCTTCGCTTTGGGCGGAATCAGCATCTTGTGTTTCACAAGTGTATTCTCATGAACTATACCGTACAGATCACCCCCTGTGATGTGAGACCCCACCTGAACACATCGAACATAATTATCAGCAATGCAATAGAACAATTTCAGTCTGCCACCTTTGAGAAAGATTAATTGTTAAAGTATTTCAAGAAACCAAACTCCAGAAATTCATTGATAGAGGAAATCTTTTTATCAGTTTTCTTACCTTAACATTGAGCGGGTTGAACTCCCAGGCATGGTCTCTAGCGAGACATGGCACATTGACACCTTTAGGGATATAAATGGACTGAGTGAGTTCATTGATGTCCTTTAGAGGGCGCTGGATACCGTCGAAAATAGACCCAAGAATGCCAGGACCGAGCTCCACTGATAGAGGTTTGCCTGTACGTAGTACGGGGTCTCCTACCGTCACACCTGATGTTTCCTCATATACCTATGACAAGAAAATATGTGTGATGATGTAATTCATTGAAGATGTAATAAATATTTCTAATTTTGAATTCTATTTTACAATAAAGTCAAAAAACAATTCAACAACATTTTTCTCATATTATGATTTGATGAGTTGTTTTTCAAAGTTCAATTAGAAGAGAGTATGAATTTAGGATGAGTCACAACAGCAGGTGATTTTCCCAGATATGAAAGTTTTACTTTAAAAAGTTTGGGGCTTTATACCCTTTGTTTTATGTTAGGTGGTCGGCCTACTTTAAATACTTTTCCTTACTTGAATAGTGGCCATGTCGCCCTCAAGACGGATGATCTCACCGACCAGCTCATTGTACCCGACGCGCACCAACTCGTACATAGCAGAACCAGACATTTTCTGTGCTGTCACAACTGGAGAAAACATAAAACAATTTATCTATAAAAAGAATTTTAGCAACTGAAAAGACTAACCTGGAAAATGTGATTGCTTTGTTTTAAATTTTTTTATTAAAGATACATAATAATTTCAAACACAAATTCATACATAAACCATTGTTAAAATTATTGATAAAAGACAAAATCTATAAAAAAAACTATATTTAACATTGTATTGCAGTATGTGAATTTATTATGAGATTACGTCAAATGTTACACACCAGGACCGGACACTGCATATACGTAACCAAACTTCTCTTCATTCTCCTCATTGGCGATCGTCTTCAGACCCGTTTTCGTCGCCATTTTGAATATTAATTCTTTTCCCTGAAACAAAAGTATAATAAAAATGTGTCCTATATTTTGTTAGGAGCAATAGAATATCTCCATTTCTTTTATTACAAAGATCATGCCAAATTCTAAGACCATAATAATGTTAAATAAAGGCCTGTTAACCAGCTTCCCATTCATTTTAAGAGATTTTCAAAAATTATGATTAACTGAAATTTTATTACATAACAGTGCTTCTGGAAACAGAATCTGTGAAATGAGCATTGTATATAATATTTATGTTGTTACATGAACATATTATAAAGAAACAATATTAAACCACACAATAATATAAAATGATTACAACAACTGCGTAAGTGATTTTCAAGTGATTAAAATTGTAATTATAAATATAAATCACAATAGAAATAACCCAATAGCAACTACTTTAATAAAACCTATTAATCAATATCAAGTTAAAATATCTAAGAAATAAATTATTTGAATTGTATTATAGTAATCAAATATTTTATAAAATTCATTAAATAAGAAAAGACTGAACTCATTAAATTACATAATTTTTAACAGCATTTTTTTTTTAAATAAACGGATAAATCATGTGGTGGTACAGATATTTTTTATCAGAAATTTTCAAAGGAACATTATAATAGAATATAATAGAAATCTATTATTTTCTTTGATAGGCGGTGGAAGCCGAAAACTTAAAAAAGCCGAACGAATAAAATAGGCATAACATCATAAAAGCATAAAAACGAAATAAAATCATTTTTAATTTTATGTACCAAAGTCAGTTGTTTATGTTTTAACAGGAATAAAGTAATGTGGGACGGAATTAACTAAACAGGAACACATATAGTGTCTGAGCTCCAGCTAAAATTAAGACGACTCTGTAAGTAATCAGCAAAATAAAAGAACCTGTCACATGATGGGTGTAACTGTACCTTTATGTGTAATTACAGTTTGAGCTATTTTAACTAATTATGATAGAATCATAATGAGCAAACCCAAAAAAAGTGATAAATATATTGATATTGCACTTAAAATTCTATCAACTATTGGAAAATAAGTGACATTACTTTGATTGACCAAAATTGAGGATAACAGAACAAGGCACGGTCTTACCAATTTAAATGAATACTAAATATGCATTTGATGCAAACACTAGCACCGATTTGATCTAAGCAGTTGAATTAAATAAAAAAAAATACAATTTGTAATAAAATTCCAACTCACAGGCTGACGAGAAAGACAGAAAAGACGAACCGAGAATGGCGGAGAATCACAACTTTATCACAAGACCAGTGATAAAAATGAAGTCAGCTGACCTAACTCTATAACTCATTGTCTATGGCGTCATTTCATGGCATCGATTTTTTTCAGTGTTGTTCATAGAAAAAAAATGTTTTCTTGTACTCAATAATACTACAATAACAAAGGGTAGATAGGTCATGTCAGCACCTACAGTCTGTCTATAAAGTCATGAAAAAAATTGAGGGCGCTGCGATCGTGCACGTAGCAACCCTGTGTAGTGAGACAAATGATTTTGATAGTAGGATTTTCTTTATTTATAATAAAATAAACCGGATATCTTTTTTTTTACTTTTATTACCCCAGAAAAGGTAAAGAAAGGCGTATAATTCGTAGACAATGAGTTTATTCTACATTGAAGATTACAATATAGTAATCGTAATTTTTGATAAATCTTTTTTTTTATAATTGCCAAGTTGTTTTCTCGTTTTACTGCAATGTGTGCTTGTGTTCGATTAAAGCCTGTCACTTTGACACTCCTTGTAAGAAAACCCAATCTATTTCAGAATTTAACGCAGGACTTCTAGGCTACAATTAAAATCCAGATCGGTTTTGGCAATCCACTGATGTTTTCTTCATGTAGGTACCTCTTTTTTTCACATAGTAAAAGAACTGAATCTTTTGTCGAAGTGCACAAATGTTGCAGTTAACCATTTATTTCTTAGGACGACTATCTATGTTTCCCAGGGGTTTCAAATATGCCACCATTTTTATAGCCTTCATCTAAAATACGTATCACTATATTCTCTGATTTTCCTGAAAGTAAGTTTTAAAAATGTAATACCTATAGGTATTTGGCAAAAAGAATGGAATCGCCACAATGATCAAATTAATGCTATAATTTTAGTAATATAAAGCATAAACTTTTTATTGGCGTACGTAGGTAAAAATCGTACATTCCTAACAGATATATTTTTTATTCAGATTAAAATCAATGATAAATTTGGTTATCCAAAAGTATTAAAAGTTCGGACCGCACTACAATATAGCCTTCTAACATTTTCAATCTAACCTATAAATGCATAATGTAAACAATACTTATTTTAGACTTAAATTCATATATTTAGTAAATTTGAAACTTCTGGTAACCAAAACTAAATCAGTAACACGATTACATACCAGTCATAACTGGCGTTCGAGCTTTAACATCCTACAAATATGATAAAATGTGTCCAGCTTCTTGTTCCAATAAACATCACTGAAAAACTTTATAAATAATATCCTGAGCTTCACTCCGATTAATATTCTTCATTTCTAATACTTTTCTACGGAGTTTAGAAGAAGTAGCTTCAGTTTAATCAAAACAAGAAAAAACAAAAAGAAAATCGAGCTAAAAAATCAAGTTGTTGACAGTCGATGTACTTTGTTTCAGTGTTGTCATACTTGTGTCTAATGTTAGTTCCTCAAACATTCTTTTCATGACTTTATAGACAGACTGTACTAATGCGATGTCAAAAATTGTTGCTTTCTCTGTCTACGTCCCCAGCATATACACAAGCACATGGCACGATACTCTCAAATTATTCATAGATTATAATTGAACATGTCCGATACCCTGATGTATACAGATTTAATGCATGTTTAATGCCTAATTTACCTAAACGAGTTGAAGTCTTCAATCAACAGTTCAACTTCAAATTGTTGATGTCTAACATTATTATTTCGCCTTGTCGTTAGTGTATATATTATTTGCCCGTGTATAAATAAAAAAGCTTTTCAAGCGATAAATTAAACCTGACACTGATAAGTAATATGTTTAAATAACACGAGGGCTGGGCCCTAAAAAAATACTCCGATTCCTATGTCTATTGGAAAAGACATAGGAATCGGAGTATTTTTTTAGCTACAGAGTTGAAATCAATGCTCCGAATTCAAAGTTTCGGAGTTTCAGTCTCGTATAGATTTTCATATAAATGAAAGGTAGAGTTGGCACTAAAGTCGAATTGTTCGTTCTATTTCTTACATAATCTTTGACAAATCTTTTAACAATTTGTAACCGGAGTATTTACTATTTGACTTAATATTTATGACCCTTTGGTGTTTAGATGACTTACTTGTGTTGTTTCTACAGTTTCGCATAATTCAGAATGGCAATTTAAAAATGATTATGGTATATAAACGCACATAATCAAGGCCTTCGCCAGAATGTGCTCAGGTATGCTAATTAGCATAGTTTCAAGGTGACGCTTTTTGAATTCAAGTAACCTATCTACCCTTTTTTTATTGTAATATCATGTGAAAGACCAGGGAGCTTTTAGGTCACATACGTTTATTTAAACTCACCAAAAATTATATATTTTGTAAAACCGAAAGTTAAACATAATGAGGAAGTATTTAAAAAATAAAAATTAGTTCTTGAAATCATACTAGATGTCACTCGCGATGTTTCGATTTTGTTTATGATATTCATTCAAATTTCGTTTCTGACGTAATAAAAGTAAATTGAGTATCGAAAATTAAAAAATATGACATCGTTTTGTGTTTCTTATAATATCTTACTTTCAAATTTATTTAAATTTATTTTAACCGTAGTTTAAGTTGTTTATTATGTTACGTGTAAAGGAACGATGTTTGGTTGAAACGTCAACATTAGTGATGAGCCAACTTATTGGTTGCTCGTGACTTTCATCCGAATTCAGGTTTGGAATGAATAACAAAAAGCGGAGCACAGATTTCAGCTTGTATTTGTATGTGTTATTATGCATCCACAGAACGAATAATATTAATTTAAATATCAAAATCAATTCAGTCTGGGTTTTTACATAGTACTTGTACAAATCGAAAACTTTGCCAAAGGTTTGCAAAACTTAGGTAGAAGATCTTGTTGTGACAAGAAACGGCAAGAAACTCAGCAAGGGCTGCTTTTTAAATGTCAACTATACAACTCAACTTTATTATATTTGAGGGAACGTAACGACCTAACGTACACAACACCACCGCAGAGATTTTTGAAAGAGCATGAGTACTATAGGTATTTAGTAAATAATATATTTCAATAAAACTGATTTCTAGAGTAGGTTGTGTGTGAAGTTAATCTATTATTAACAATATTATTGTTAGAACCAAAAAGCACATACCCACCGTACGAATAAACTTAACACATGGTTCGATGTCCGCCGTCAAAATCAGTAGCAATAGTATAACAACTCTACGTGTCTTTGTGATTTTGAAATTTAAAGTTATAACTTTGCTGTTCGTTTAGAACAGACGTCTCTTATTCATTGCTGAATGAATATAAGATTTAAAATAACTGTTCATAGTTTTTTAAAGTCTTAATTTTGAAAGTACAAGTTATTTGCACGTTACACTGCACAAACGTAATTTTAGCCAGAAGTCATGTTATCTTGTACGAATACCTAGTAAATTTAGATAATAAATTTTAGATAATAAACGGATTTTTTATTATAATTATCGTTTTTATGACATTTGTTGCTGATTAATATACCCTATTCATTCATTGACCATACATAATATAAAAATATTATTGAGACTTGATGTAGTTTTGTTTTTGTAAGTTTAACTAACAACTTATAGCAATAAAACTAACTTACCTAGTTGTTATTATATATCCTAGACCTACTATGAAATAAGTACCTTAATTATAAAAACTATTTGGCGGTAATATTGTTGTATACCGTAGCTAAATTCCACTTTTAATTATATCACAGCATTCATTCAATTGATTTCCATAAATTAAAAGAAAAACCTCTGTGCTCACTTCCATTATGTTAGTTTCCATTTTTCTCCATACGTATAAAAAAGAAATTTATTCAAAGATTACTTTGTATTAATTGAGTTGCGTTTGCATAACTCGAACTAATTAAATTTCAACTCGATATTAATCCGAGTTATCAGATCCGTACAACACTGACAATTCTATTCTCTTTGGTTTAACGTCACGAATTGACGTTCAGATCCAATAATTTGTGCTGCCATCTAGTGACATAAATTTTTGTAGTTTCTTTATTTTTTTAAATACTTCCTCATTGAAATATTTTTTTAATCGATACACACAAAACAAATTATAAATTCCAATGTAGAACAGAAAGAACACATAGAAACAAACATACATACAAACATAGACTGATTACCCTCCTTTGCGTCGCGCAGTGAGGTAAAAAGCGGAACGCAAAGTTCTGCTTGTAATTGTATGCGTCATACATTATGCATCTACACGTCGAATGAATTAATATAAATATCAAATCAATTCATTCATGGCTGTTATAATAGTACCGGTGAACATTTTTTTTTAATTATAGAAATATTGATAAACTGTCTATTAGCTTAAACTAGCTAGAACATTTAATCAATGGGTTTAGTTGCTGTAAATAATGTTAAGTTCGACTAAATTAAATATTACTAAAAAAAGTCGAATTTAAACAAACAAAGCTACTTCGATAATTTAATGAAAGCAAAATATTTAAAAAAATATAGACGATAAAATATGTTCAAAAGAAAAAACCTACATATTCAATGATAAAATTATTAAAACATTTTTATTGCTGTGTCTAGAGATATAGCGAGAGACTTAGCCCGGATAGCAATTTAAACTTGTTTCTTACTTGCAACAAGTTTGATACATCAAAATAGAAGACTTGCTTCAAGGTTGTCATGACAACTGCAGCGACTTGCACCAAGTTTAAAACAAACTTTCTAGTTTCAGTGTGACAAACTTGCACGTCCTTTGACGTATCAAAGGTAGTGCAAGTGTACCTAGGAAAATTATTATTACTAGTACCGTAGTAGTTTTTATTAATCTTTTGATCATTCAAAGCTTTTGGTCAAATCGCTTTTGGACTAAAAGTTTTGACAAAAGTGACTTTAAACTCCACAGCACAGAGCCTAGCCTAATAGCCAAAGTTATTAACTGGAACGATTGGTTTCGAATCCCTAAAATTACTGACATTCGAAATTCGAATTCGAATTACTGACTAAACACCGCCTTGGACAGCTGGTTACATGCCCGGAGGCAACGAACCTTCGACTGGAGCGACCGCCCCCCCGCAAGGAGCAAGGAGTTTGTCTTGTCTATTTATAGACAATTTATGTTCTTGGGTGAATGATTTTGATTGAAAATTGGAATAAATTCTTCTCTTTTACTATATTACTATTTATTTTTAATGGCTGAATAGGCCATGATTGTATTTTTAGCAAAATCTGACCTTATGAATTGGCGTTAACAAACGTTCAGTCTTGATCATCTATGAGTTCTTGTTCAGAATAAAAGATACACTCTGCAAGTGCCAAGCCAGAAAATTAAAAAGAGAGATAGTTGATTATGGCAAATACTAAAGTTTGTTATACATAAATACAAAAAAATATTAAATAAAATGTTTTTTTTTTTTTTATTTACTACGGCAGACGTAGCAGCCTTTTAACTTTTCCTTAAATATGCGGCAATATTGCTAACTAAACACGACATCAGTATTATGTATTATCTACCAGTATTATGTATAATCTATGGTATTATCTATGCACGGCACTAATTAAAATTACTATGGCAACACTGGTCTTGAGTTGTCTATGGAAGGTTTTTTTTTGTTTGCAAAATATCTATTTTGAAACTATATAAAATAATATCATTTTAGTTACAACTTCCTATTCAACCAACAGTTGCTCTCAAAATTATAGTGGAAATAGGCATAGCATTATATCAACCTACTTGTTGTCATTGGAGATTCGATGTACTTATAAGTCTGGTTTTTAGCCTACACGTGTGGTATATTTTGTTGTTGTTTAACGTATTTGTAGAATAACGATGTGTTGTTACAGGAATAGTAAAGATATCCCGTTGAGCAAATCTTTATCCTATCTTCTTCGGCACGGCGCAATCAAAGAAGGATTAGAAATAAGGTAATTTTTTATTTACATTTACATTATTTTCATAAATTCAATCCAATGCTGAATTCAAATAAACAGTGTTTGCATTAGGACTTCTTAGCACTTAAGTTTTTATCATTTTCTCTGAACTATCTGTTGAATGAAACTATATTAGTTACAGCCCTGAAGGATACATAGATTTGAATAGTATTCTCCAACACAAGTCTATTAGGGGAAAGTATAGTCAATCAGACTTGGAACGAGTTGTCAAGACTAATGACAAGCAGCGTTTCTGCTTGAGAACCAACCCACAGACAGGTGTGTTTGAAGTGAGGGCGAACCAGGGTCACAGCATCACACAAGTGACTGATGCTGCACTTCTCAAAATTACAGAAGTGAGCAACACCTATACACATACTTTTTAACTATAATATTTTTTTGCAAAAGACATTAATTTAATTCACATGTGAAAGTCGTTTTTTATTAATGGATCAATTGAATGATATTGTTGTGAATTGAACAGTTGTGTAGCTACAAAATAACAGTTAATTGGGTATATATAAACACACTCTTATATTTGAAGATAAAAATAAAAGAAACGAAGACTTTAAATGGACTGTAATTCGAGGAAAATCTCAATATAATGAATATGTCGCGTCGAGTAGTCCGAATGCGTATGCGTGCGTCGTCTGAGTGTGTGTGTCGCCGCGCCGCACCCGGCATCGATGGCAGCCGGGTCCGGCGTAGTGATGTGCGCCCCCTCCTCGCTAGTGATGCAGGTGTAGGCGCAGACATACTCCCCGGCGTTGAAGAATCATCTTCAAGAAGAGAAGACTGGAAGTGGGCATATATTGTTGTAAGCTCGCCGGAGCACACCCTTTCTGGTTTTGATGTCAGCCACCCTCGCTATGCCGTCGGAGCTAGGGATAAGCTTTATGACTCTACCCAGAAGCCATACCATCGGTGGTGACGTCTTGTCTTTAATGACCACCATGGTCCCGACTTGAAGTTGGCCTGAAGATTTCTTCCATTTGCATTTCTGTTGAAGTAGAGATACGTATTCGTTAGCATATCTCTGCCAAAAATGTTGTTTTAGCTTTTCGACCCGCTGATAGCGCTGAAGTGTCATAATGTTGACATCCGTCAGATCCGGATAGGGTACCGACGTGAGCGACCGTCCAATAAGGAAATGAGAGGGGGTAAGAAAGGTCAAGTCAGACGGGTCTGTTGACATAGGGGTTAGAGGTCTAGAATTTAAAATAGATTCAATTTGCGTTAAACAAGTTATCATTTCTTCATAAGTGAGATGTGATTGCCCTAATATTCTAAATAAATGAAATTTGACAGACTTTACAGCGGCCTCCCATAAGCCACCAAAATGTGGAGAGTAAGCAGGAATAAATTTAAAATTGATACCTTGACTATTCATGTCGTCTCTACAATTATATACTATGTGATTAAAAGCGCCCACAAACGCAGTCCCGTTGTCACAGTACAGCGTGTGTGGTTTGCCCCGTCGAGCAATGAATCTGTTGAGAGCACTTAGAAAGCATTCTTTTGTGAGATCTGAGACGAGCTCCAGATGTAACGCTTTAACTGCGAAACAAACAAAAACACAAATATAGGATTTGATTAGTCGGCCACCGCGACCTTTTCGATTGACAATCATCACTGGCCCAGCGTAGTCTACACCCGTGTTAAGAAAAGGAAACTCCAAATTTAGTCTTTCAAAAGGCAGATTACTCATTATTGGTTGTGTAGTTGTGGCCTTTTGTCTTACACAACGAATGCATGAACGTACTATGCGTCTGGCTAAATTCCTTCCCCCGAGTACCCAATATTTTTGTCGTACTTGAGAGAGTAATAAAAGAGGGCTAGCGTGAAGTGACGTTATATGTTGCATTTCAAATATTAATTTCGTGAGAGTATGCTTACTGCATAGAAGGATTGGGTGCTTTACATCATAACTATAATTTGCATTGTGAAGTCGACCCCCTACTCTAATGATCCTGTCTGAATCGAGAAAAGGGGAAAGTGATAAAATTCTATTTTTTGATGGTAATGATTGATTTGAACTTAAGATGTGATATTCTTCCGGAAACATTATATATTGTTGCGTGATGCGAATTAATTTATTATGCGCTAGCATTATTTCTGATAAAGATAAGTGATCTTTGTTTTTAATTTCTCTGTTTCTTACATTATTTATAAATCTATTTACGTATGCTATTATTCTGATTAATTTCGAGAAATTAGAAATTCTCTCTATCAAGTTTATTATTGAATTTTCTACTTCATCGAGAAAGAATGACATTTCTGGAAGAGGCAAATTTCTTTGAGTGGATGTGTTAGGATTGATCGATGTGTGCGTATGTAGTGAATGTAAAAAGGTGGGGCCAGTCCACCACAGATTTGAGGCAATGAGTGACTCAGCCCTCGCCCCGCGAGAAACCAGGTCTGCTGGGTTCTCTTTTGACGGCACGTAGTTCCACACTGCATCGTCGGTATTTTCATGAATTTCATTTACCCTATTTCTAACAAATGATTTTAATTGATTAAATGAAGTGGCTAACCAGCCTAAGACAATAGAAGAGTCTGTATAAAAGAAACATTTGGAAAATTTCTTTGTTAATGATTTTGTTACTTTTTTATAAAGCCTGGTACCTAATAAGGCCCCGCATAGCTCAAGACGAGGTATTGTACTTGACTTTATAGGTGCAATTTTATTTTTGGAAGTTAATAGACGCACACGAATGTTACCGGTGTGTGTGATTGTTTTGATGTAACAACATGCTCCATAAGCTAGTTCAGATGCATCTGTAAATGTATGTATCTCTGTTACGGTAGTGTCATTGTCATTAAATGTCCAACGTGGTATGCTTAATGTATTCAGTGATGGAAGTGATTGTATTAATTTGAGGTAAGATGATCTTAATTCATTTGGTACATTGTCGTCCCAATCAGCTTTAATTTTCCATAATTCTTGTAATATTATTTTTATTGTTACAATGCAGGGCCCTACGAGACCTAAAGGGTCGAATATTTGACTTATGGCAGATAATATGGTGCGCTTAGTGACCTTTAAATTGGGGTCCGAATTAAATTCATAAAATAAAGTATCTGTAACTGTATTCCAATATAGACCTAATGTTTTATTTTGAGTTATATTATTTAAATTTAACGATTTTTCTGTATCACCTTTTATTTTTAAAATTGATTCAATGATCTCTGGACTATTAGATTGCCATTTACGTAGATTAAATTTAGTTGTCTCTAAGACGTGAATGACTTCATTACAAAGATTGATGACAGTTTCTATCGAATCCCCGCCACTCAAAAAATCGTCAATATAGAAATCATGACGGAGGGCGCGCTTGGTATCAATATTTATACATTTTTCAGCTAAGGTAAGTAAGCATCGAGTTGCCAAATATGGGGCTGACGCAGTACCGTATGTAAGAGTATTTAGTGTAAATGTTTGTAGTGGTTCTGAAGGGTCAAACCTGAATATGATTTGTTGTAGAGGACGTTGTGAAGGTTCTACATAGATGGCTCTGTACATTTTCTCGATGTCACTGGTGACAACATATTTATGCTGCCGGAAGCGGAGTAGGATTGAAAAAATATCGTCTTGTATAGTCGGTCCTATTCTCTGTATATCATTAAAAGATTTACCTGTAGATGTCGCTGCTGACGCGTCGAAGACCACCCGTAGTTTTGTTGTCGTACTGGAATCTCGAACTACTCCATGATGAGGTAGGTAGTTGTTTATGATGTTTGTAGATTTATTAGTAGTAGATGTAAATGCATTATGTGTTTGTATATATGGATGATTTGATGTATGTTTATGTATTGATGTTTGCATTGAGGTTCGTTTTGGTTTATGTATGGATGTATAAGTTAATATTTTATTTGATGATCGGGTGGTAGATGTAGGATTAGATGTGTTATTAGAAGTTAATGAATATATGTTTGTGTTTTCATTTTTTATGTTTGTGTTAAGTGTCATGTGCCCAAGCGTTAAATACTCACGCATAAATTGATGATAATCGTTTTTTAACTTATTATTACGCTGTAGTTTTCTTTCTAAAGAAAGAAACCTATTTTTTGCCATTGTGTATGAATCGCCCAATTCTTGCGGGGGTTCTTTAAGAGGGATGGTAACTATAAATTTACCTTCATCGTCGTGCCTCGTTGTACTTTGGAACATTTGCTCGCATGCTTTTTCTTCTTTGGAAAAGGAGGAGCTAGCACTTACAGAGTCTAACTCCCAGAACCGATTAAGTTGAGATTCTATAGATTGCGAAAAGTTACAAATGGCATTTTTGGTATTTGGTGTGTTGGGAATAGAACCTGATACGATCCAACCTAGTTTTGTCTCGCGTAATGATGGTTGATGTTTTCCCATATTGATGATATTGGTACCTAATATATTCCAAAATATTTCAGCGCCGACTAATATGTCTATAGAAGCAGGAACATTAAAGGAAGGATCGGCAAGTTGAATCCCTGTAGGTATCTTAATGTGTTTTTTATGTATAAATACTGATGGTAATGATGTGGTGATGTGTGGTAAAATGTAACATTCAATGTTTGTCTTGTAACTTCCATTGCAAGATCCTATCTCAAGTACACATGATTTTGTAATAGATGTATTATGATTATTTATGCCTACCACTGTGGAGTACGCGTCAAACCCGGTCAGACCCAGCCTCTCGCAGAGGCGGGAGGTGATGAAGTTGGATGTACTGCCGTTGTCCAGCAGGACTCTGGCAGTATGCTGAACACCGCTGATGTCTTTCACTGTCACCATGGCTGTGGAAAGCAATATATGAGAGTGGGACATGGAAGATGAATTTGATTGAGTATGTGCTGATAGTGATATAGTTTCGATGTTTGTATTGTTTTTACTATTTTCAATATCTTTATGAAGAAGAGTGTTATGTTTATGGTTGCAATATTTGCAGTGTGTCAGCCTACATGATGTGTGTGAATGTCCAATACGTAAACAATTTTTGCAAATATTTTTAAAGGTAGATATCTTTTTAATACGCGTGTCAACATCCAAATCTCTAAATGAATTACAGTTGAAAAGAAAATGTTCTTGTTTACATAGTGGACAAGATTGATGTTTTGTATTATTATGCATTTTTTCGGTAACTATGGCAAATGATTTTTGTTTCTGTGTTTGTGGTATTGTAAGAGATGTTTTGTATGACTGTTTATTGCTATGTATTGTTTCGACTAATTCTGCTCTGTTGTTTAAAAATGTAAGAAATTGTTTCAAGGATGGTTGATCGGATAATGTGTTTTTGTACTCTTCCCAAAGTCTACTAGTTATAAAATCAAGTTTTTTACTCATCATATAAATTATCAAGATGTCCCAATGATCAGT